AAGGAAATTGGAGAGGGGGAGAAGAAGGAAATTGGAGGGGGGAGAGAAGGAAATTGGGGGGTGAAGAAGGAGGAGAGGGGGAGGAAGGAGAGAGGAAGAAGAAGGAAATTGGAGAGGGGGAGAAGAAGGAAATTGGAGGGGGAGAAGGGAAATGGAGAGAGAAGAAGGAAATTGGAGGGGGGGGAGAAGAAGGAAATTGGAGAGGGAGGAGAAGAAGGAAATTGGAGAGGGGGGAGAATAAGGAAATTGGAGGGGGGAGAAGAAGGAAATTGGAGAGGGAGGGGAGAAGAAGGAAATTGGAGGGGGGAGAAGAAATTGACGGGGGAAGGGGGAGAAGGAAATTGACGGGGGGGAGGGGGAGAGATTGACATCCATCACACACACACACAATGCACCCCTTGCACACAGAAAAACACACAATGCATTACACACAGACACACATACACAAGCAATGCATCCCTTACACACAGCAACACACAATGCATTACACACACTCAATGCATCCCTTACAGACGCACACACTGCATCCCATGCATACACAAACTCACCTTGCAGCCCTTACACATACAAACACAGATTCACACAATGCATTCCTTACACACATCAGGACATCCCCCCACACACACTCCACCCCCTGTGAACAAACTCATTGGTGGAACATGAAGGTGGACCCTGGGACCCAGACCTTGAGCTGTGTAAAGGGCCCTCAAAAAAATGGAGCTGCTTCCCGTTCTCCCAGAACATTGATTTTTGTGACCACAGTTACAAACCGCCTCCAGAGAGCCTGTTCTACACCAGACCAGTGGAGCCAGACTGCAGCTAGAGCCCATCATCATCCTCATCTGGTTGTAAGTAGGCAATCTAGTATATTATTCGTGGCACTAATCTCTAATTTACCTCACATTAAAGGGACACTATAGTCCCCAGAACCACTGCAGCTTAATGTAGTGGTTCTGGTGTCTATAGCCTGTCCCTGCAGGCCTTTTAATGTAAACACGGCGGCACTGCAGCACTGTGTTACTTAACATGGCAGATCATATGGGTGGGGCATTGTGATGTCACATGGGGGGGCGACAAACTTTACTTTTGCCTAGGGCGGCAAAAATCCTTGCACCAGCCCTGCAGACACTGCATTCCTGTGGGCGGACTCGGGGGGGGCAGCACTTTGGGCGGACTTGGGTGCAGGCACCGGGGGGCCCAGACCTTGAGCTGTGTCAGGGGCCCCAAAATTTCTGATGGCAGCCCTGTATATATAAACAAGTTAAGCAACCTGAAATCAGGTAAATATCCGTGGATATAATCTGTATAAAGAATCAAAAGGCTGACATAGCGTAATACAGTATTAAATGGAGTGTGTGATAAATGTGGTAATGAGTACACTCACAAACAAACGTGAAATCAGGCTTCTCACCCTCTCAGGGGTCATTTGCTGTATGATGAATATGAACTTGAAATATCATCCGATGGAATATATGTAAATAAAGGAAATCAGATATAGGGAAGTTTGTTATACAATTACAAAATCACATTTATTGGTCGCACTTACACATAGGAATATTAAGAAGAGCGTGTCTCCATATAACATGGAACTCCTGTACAGCGTGGTAAAAAAAATCCAGGAGAAAATCCAGGAACAGGTTTATGGAACCGCCAAATACAGGTAAACAATAAAATACAAAATAAAAGAACATAAATTAAAAGTCCATAAGGAGAAGAAAATGTTTAAGCCAACCTGTTCCCGCTATAGGTGCAGGGTGTGTAGTGTAATATTCTTTAAAGGGACACTATAGTCACTAAAACAACTTTAGCTTAATGAATCTGTTTTGGTGTATAGAACATGCCCCTGCAGTCTCACTGCTCAACTTTTTGCCATTTAGGAGTTAAATTCCTTTGTTTATGCAGCCCTAGCCACACCTTCCAGCATGTGACTTGCACAGCTTTCCTAAACACTTCCTGTAAACAGTCAGCTAATGTTTACACTTTATGGCAAATTCTGTTTAATTAAGATTTTATTTTCTCCTGCTCTGGCGCCTCCTGTATGTAATTAAAGTTAAATTTACAGAGCAGGAGATAAAATCTTTTAAGGTAAGTTACATCTTATTGAAAGTGAAACCTGTTTTTTTGCCAGGGGAGGTGTGGCAAGTGCTGCAAAAACAGAAACAAAGTGATTTAAGCCCTAAATGGCAGTGAATTAAGCAGTGAAACTTCCGAGGTATGATCTATACACTATAACTGCTTCATTAAGCTAAAGTTGTTTTGGTGACTATAGTGTTCCCTTAAGGCAGGGTTTCCCAATTAATGTTTCCCTTGGAACCCTTTGACATGGTATAGCAAAACTTTGAAACCCCCCCCCCCCCGAAAAAAAGTGTGCTGTAGAGCAAACCTTTCAATGAGCAGAGTTTAATGTTCTCTTTTGCTGGCAAATTCTTTTTATATCTGGTTTAATTGTTGACAGTTGTATTCGCATGTCTGCAGTTGCGTCAAGTCGATTTCGATACTTTGTTTTTGTTGCAGAGTAGAGCGAGATTCCAGCTTCACATAAGTACGTGCTGGCGAACGTGATTGCCCGCTTGGACAATTATAGATATTCTTTGTGTAAATCACCCCAAAAAGCAATAAGAGAAACTTCTTTAATTTTTTTTAATTCTTTTGTCTTCGTTGACTGTCATAAGTTATATCGATCAGATTCTCAAAATCTACATCAGAAAAATTGGCTGGCTTGTCTTTTATCAATGGATTTTGAACCCACTCATTATTGTTTTCATTCAAGAATGGAAAATACTGATTAATAGATGTGATTAAATGGCAAAGATGATCTACAATTTCATTCAAGTTCAATTTCTGATTCTTCAAGAAAATCCTTAAGTGTTGGCAAAGAGTTCAAATTATTTTGCTCAACAGATGAGGTCCAAAACTGGAGCTTACGAGACAGTGAAAATATTTAATCTCTTGCATTAAAAATATTAGTGTTTTTTTCCCTGGAGTGATAAACATACGTCATTTAATTTTGTGAATGTCTGCTACTTTGGATAACTACAGAGTGTTTGTTAATCGATCAGATAATCCAAATTTATGATCCTGGATATATGCAAACAACTCTTGACGCAATTCAAACATTCTAACAAGGACTTTACTTCGTGATAGCCAACGGAATTCTGAATGCAAAAGCAGAGCAGAGTGGTGACTACCCATATCTTCACATATAATTTTAAATAGTCGTGACTGTAATGGTCCACTTTTTATAAAATTAGTAATCTGGACCGATTTGTCTAGCACAGTTTTAAGTGAGATTGAAATATTTTTAGCTACCAGTGCATGTCTGTGAAGAACACAGTGAAAACTAGTGCTGATTTTTGCTACATTTCTTATTTGTGTCACAGCGCCTGCCATTGCTTTGGCACCGTCACTGCACACATCTACACATTTGTCCCAATTTATACTGTGTGTGTTCATGAATTTCTGGATACAGTTAAAGATGTTCTCACCAGTGGTATGAGTTTTCAAAGTTTCACACAGAAGCAAGTCTTCTTCAATCTGTTTGTCAAAACTATATCTGACAAAAACCAAAAAAATTGAAAGTCCTGCAACATCTGTGGACTTGTCTACTTGTAGTGAGTACCCATCACATTGATGCAGTTGAGAAATTAGTTCAGTATGGATGTCATCAGCAAGATCATGAATACGGCACAAAACTGTGTTGTTGGAAAATGGCACAGCTTCAGTTTTTTTACTCAACTTTTTTATTATCACTTTGAAATTTTTTGCTCATTAATTATTTACTCTTCCGATACTCCGTTAGCTTATGTTTAGTAAAATGAATGTCTTTATCTTTGCTCTCTGTGTGGTTTTGCTCAAAATGACGTCATTTAGGAGGTGCTAATGTACTGTTTGGCAATATTCTATTGCAAAGTACCCATTGTGTTTCAGGACAATCTTCATTTCTGGCACTTGTGGACCCAAATGACAAGTAGCTATCATCATATTTTCTTTTCTATGTTTGAGAAGAAGATTGGCTAGCATTGTGTGCTTTTTTTTTCTTTTTTGACTTGTCACTAGTCTCTGCTATTTGAGGAACAGTAGATACAACTATTTCGGGCCTGTTTTCCGGATTTTTTGTTGTATCTTCTTTCTCAGTTTCTATAAGTGCCGAACAGGTAGAAGTAGTTATAATTTTTCTCTGAAGAGTTCCCTGCTTTAACCAGTTTTCCAAATTCATAGTTGTTTATTGGTAAAAAAAAATAAATAAAAAAAAAAACATTGAAAAATACAGATCTCACAACATGACCGAAAATTATGCTGATTTTGATAACGCTCTTAGAAAGAACTGAACTTAAGCAGGATTTTTGAGTTAGATTTGGAGGAAAAAGATTTGAACAAAAATACAGTTAAAAGTTTTTTACCCCTCACAGAGTCTTTCAATGCCCCTCACAGAGTCTTTCCATGCCCCTGACAGAGCCTTTTAATGTCCCTTACAGAGTCTTTTAATGTCCCTCACAGAGTCTTTCAATGTCCCTTACAGAGTCTTTTAATTTCCCTAACAGAGAATTTCAATGCCCCTGACAGTCTTTCAATGCCCCTGACAGTGCCTTTTAATGTCCCTTACATAGCCTTTTAATGTCCCTAACAGAGAATTTCAATGCCCCTGACAGCCTTTCAATGCCCCTGACAGAGTCTTTCAATGCCCCTGACAGAGCCTTTTAATGTTGCTAACATAGAATAGCAATGTCCCTACCTAACAGAGCTTTCTATGTCCCTAACTAACAGAGCTTTCTATGACAATAACAGAGCTTTAACTATCAGCTCTACTGTCCATCACTCCTCTACCACGAGTGATAGAAAATGGCTGACGGCAGAGCTGGCTGGCTGACGGCTGGGTGGGCTGGCTGACAGCTGTGCAGGCTGGCTGACAGCTAGGTGGGCTCTCTCATGGCTGAGCTAAGTGGCTGGCTGATGCCTGGGTGGGCAGCAGGGTGCTGGGGCGGGCTCTGACGGCAGGGCGTGCTGACGGCAAGGTGGGCTGACAGCAGAGCTGGCTTAAGATCTCTCTCCCGCAATCTCTTATGAGATCGCGGTTGCGCGATCTCTGCTGTTTCTGACCTTCCGGGAACAGATGGTAGCAGCTGCCATCTTGGATGTGGCGAAATGCAGCGGAATCACAATTTTGTTCTTGTGGAACACCAATTGGGAAACGCTGCTTTAAGGAATGTCTTGTATAATCTCTAGTCTGGTTGTGGGGCCTGTGCAGCGCCACTTTCTGGTTTAAATGAGTATGCAACAGTTATGTGCACAATGTAGCTTATGCAGGTAAAATATATATTACCACTTGTGTTTGTCTTCCTAAAACCCATGTAGGATTGGGTGTGAGTAAAAATGGAACTGACAAAAAGGTTCACAGTAGATCTTTAAAGCTGGCCTTAGGCCTCCTCAAAAGATGCCATGCACAGAAGAACTAACATTCCCACGGGGCCTTATGTAGATTTAACTGTTTTCCCCATCCTCCTTCATTCTCCGAATAGGGATAGTGAATGGGGCAAAACAAATCCATGATTCCAGGGCTCCTTGTCTAATCCCTGGGTCCTAAGCTGTCATCTAAGGTAACCTTATGAGTAATTCTGATCTGACCCATCTCAGTTGAATTCATGAAAGTCCAAAATGTCTTGTGGAGCAGTTTCGTCAACTTATTCCTGCAATCAATTTTGGATCAGTAGTTCCTCTTTACCTTCTTACGGAGACAGAGAATGGGTGAACATGGGTTAAAGTAAGGGAAACATTACCCAAACTGTTAAATTGCACTGATCTATCTGGGAACTCCTAAACCTCTCTTCCAACCATGCCATCATACCCAGAGCATTGTGATCCGTATTTTTAAGCATTCAATTTGAAAACCTTTATTTTTCTGTTGAGGATTCATTGTATATTGACAACAAAAAAATAACACACAAGCCACTATGTCTCATGGGAACATTCATTTTATTTACTTTTTATTTTTTTGTAATAAAAGAATACCTTTGTAATAGATCCCAACAAGTTCCACGTTGAGGTTCAATAGAAGTGTATGTTAGAAGCAGTTACAGAATTAGAACTAGATTACGTCCAAGCCTTCGAGAGACATTCGTCACACTGTTTAACAGTGAAGTCTTTTGGTGGGTTGCACTAAAGCATCCAAGCATGGTATGGCATCCAGTAGAAATTTGCAAAGTTCAAAACTGACATAGAACCATTGAGAAGATTAATATATTTCAAAGAACTGTGATTTTCTGAGACTCCATATGACATGTCCATTTCTAAGATGAATGCCTGAACATATTTCCTGTTATAGTCGGATTCTGTAGTGTCTTGTTCAAGTCCTAATACTTTGACAATGTGCTGGATCTTGATAGGGCAGTTCATGATGGCTACTCGCTAAAAAAAAAAATTAACCATGCTTTGGCAGTGAGTTAAACGAGACTCCAAATATCATTATGGATGGCTGAGACAGTGCATTGTTCGTTTGGTATCCATAGAATGACTGAACACCTTTAGAGGCTTTTTGGGTCACAGTCACTACTGAGTTACCTGTAAAACCTGACTGTCCTTAACCCCTTAAGGACCAAATTTCTGGAATAAAAGAGAATCATGACATGTCACACATGTCATGTGTCCTTAAGGGGTTGAGCTCCAGGCATAGGGCAGAGTGACAATGCTATTACTGAGACGTGATGTGACAGACATTTGGTCATTTACCAGAAATAACCTGGGACAATACATTCAGAGCAAGAGAACAGCTAGGCTATTTCGACCTCTGTGGGTGCTGAGGAAAGTTCATTAAATTTAAAACCTTCAAGGACACAAAGCTTTAGAGGTATAATTAGTATTTACAAACTTTAGAGTAGACACATGTATCAATAATAATTAACCAGTATTTGTAATGTATTACAAGAAAATTTACTGGATTTGGGTGAAATTGATTTATGTCTCTGCTTTCCTTCTAAACATATACGAGTTCCGGACTTTTCAAAAGGCACTCTAGACTTTTCATACAGCACATAATTGCCTGTAGGTCTAGATATTTTTCGGCCACAGATATCTAAGACCCATTCCATCCATTCACTATTTATAATGTCTCTGGCAGTGGCTAGGCCATTTGTAATATTTGTTCCTAGAAATGCATTTGATATAAATCACTTTCCTCCCTCAACTTTATTCTACTTTATTCTTGGTTTTAGTGCAATTCATAGATGATCATTTAGTAGTGCGTTAAAAGATAAATAAATAAGTTCAATGCCTGTTAATTAGAAAACTGACTACAAGTATAGATCAGATAGCATAATGGAGGTGAGAAGGTGACTTATAAGAGATTATATAGATGTATAACTTGTTTTTTAATTCCAGAGGGGCCCAGAAACATGGTCCTCTTTGGCAAAAATACTTAAAATAGTTTAGACAGTATGTTACTGTAAAGTGTTTAGAATAAGGGGTTGGTCCTATATGAGGTCAAAATATATTTTTCATAACACATATAATCGGACAATCCCATCCAGGACTAAAGTGTATTAATAGTGGTCAGAGTGTGGTCAAGCCCTCTTAAAACCAACTTTCATATATGGCAGTAACATGGCAGTGAAGCAGTCCTTTCCTTTGTAGGATCAAAGCTTCTTAACTAAGCTTAATTTTATTTAAGGGTATAGTCCCTCGTTAATTTAAAAATGCATCAATTAATGTGATACTTTGTAGGGGTAATTCCTCTGAGATCAGAACAAATTCATGGCAGTACTCCCTAGGGTCAACCTTTTTTTTTTTTTTTAATTATGGCAGTGACTTGTTTCACAGGGAAATTTCACCCTGCTCCCTCCACTTCTGTTTCCAGTAATTAGTAGGACTTATTTTAAGAGGTATGTGATTTCATCAAGTCTCCCAGAATCTCACCAACGTTGTTCTTGTTTATCGGCCAGTTTATTAAGTAAGTGGCAGTTTATCTTTAGTGGAAGACAGGGTAGGGGATCCCAGAAAGACTCCTTATATCATTCTTCTGTGCTTCCTCTTCCATCCTCCTTTTTTTTTTATCTCATTATATTTTTTTCCTTAGCAAGGCCTAGAGGTGTTGGGGGAATGATTGAGAACACTGACGAATACATAGAGAAAGGCAGGAAAGACATATGACCTGCTAGCCTCCTCCAGATCTACAAAGAAGAAGGAGGCAATTGTTTTTATAAAATGTATATCAAATCTTGGGTAGAATCAGATACTAAAGCCCCATAGCTACAGTGGGAGCACATGCCAAAAGTTGCATTGGAAACTGTTACACGTGATGATTGTATAGGATTTTAAACCACAAGGAATCTTGTCTTGAGTGGTCTCAGAATTGTAGGACTGTAAACAGGTGATATACACATATTTCCTATTTTAGCAAAACGTTCACAGAAAAAACATCAAAGCTTTATTTAGGATTTGGGTAGTTATAATACACAAGTCCTCCATATTAAACTCTATGCACAACTGAAAGCAGGAAATGTTGTATCTTGGAGAAAATACCTGAAAAGCAACTTTTGATAGTAAATTTTAAAAAGTGAAAATCATCCATACCATAGTAGTTAGTTTTATAAAACTCTGAAAAAAATATACACAAGATACCCAGATTGGACAGAAATATTTTAAAAAGTGATAACCTGAGGTGAGTACAGCATTGTCTAAACCAGGAAAGAAGCCATAAAAAGAAATTATTTGTAATATTTAGTGTGACCACATGGTGTTAGAGTCAACCTTAAAAAAACAGAAAAGTTAGATTTAAAAAAGAAGGATGTAGAAAGCTGTAAAAAAATGATTATCGATATTCTCCTAATAAGCTTTTCTACCAACGTTCAAGGGTCGAAAGTGAAAATACTATTCTCTGTATTAAAAATAGAGAGCCTAAAACTAGATTCTCGTTTTCCCTATCAGCAAAATGTCCGACGTGTGTTCCACCACGTTACGCTCTTCAGGGGTACATGGGAAAAGTGTCCAATGCGTTTTACCAGAGATTTTGCTAGAGAACTTGAAACTTATCAGGAGGACTGGCAGTAAGGGCCAACTCTGTCACTTTGTGGACAAACTATGTATTACATGTATTTTCTTTTTATGACTTTTTTTAGCTCCAGTTTACTCAGTTTAGAGTGTATTGTGTCAAATGTGGTTTTACTAAACAGCCAAGAAGAACAGAAAATATAGAAAACAGTCATACAAATACCAGTGTGGTATGGAATAATGTGACACTACAATGCATAAGTCAAAAACCATAAAACACTATGTATTTAGGAAACAATCAAAATCAAAACTTGCATGTAGAAGAAAAGAAAGTAGAGGAGAAAAATAAATAAAATAAAAATAAAACCATAAACATTAAGAAAAAGCAAATTAATTCCTTAAAGAAACTTATATTAAAGTTCCTTTAAAAACAGCATCACTTGTGCAGTGTCTGCTTTATATTAGAGAAAACACCAGTGATGATAAACCCCAAGATAGGGAGGGAAAAAAAGAAAAAAGGGGGGGCTCAGTGTGGGGGAAGGAAAGCGAAATGCAGAAGTAGGAAATTATTAATGGTGGAGGTGATGATGCTGAAGAAGGATGAGACAAGGGCTTTGAAATCTTGACTTAGGTGTTCCATGGTGCATGGGGTTTAGGCAGTATTCTACTGATCTTAGGGTATTGACTTAGTGGAACTATTTCTGGTTTTCTGTCCTATCTAGGTATTTTACGTAAATTATTTTGTATTTTATAGAATTGATTAAAATGTTATATATATTTTACACTTTTTATCGTTTACTAATAAAGGTTACATTTTAGGTAATGTCTCCCTGATACCTCCCTGCTTTCTGTTTAGTTCTTGAAAGAGGTTACCCCCTTTTCCTTATTTTTCAGGGATCATTCCACTCGAATCATTAGCTCTTTCTTTATTCTACAACAGATGACGAAAAGTTTTATGTAGAAAATTCTTTGCTTTACCTTCCTCTCCGGATATTCCTTTACATAAGGAGGGGGGGGAAAAAAGACTTTATTAGTAACATCGTAAAAGTTATGCCTCGCCAAACAGTTAAACACAATTCCAAAAAAATAACGTTATCAAATAACAGAAATTAATTTAAATGGCTCGTCAAATGACACTCAGAGGAAGAGTTATTACTGTTGGTGGTTACTTGAGTGTCTTTACCAATACGAACTGTAAGTGCATTTTTGTCTACTTACTTAAAACCCCATCCGGTTCCCCCCAGTACAATGGCAGCGATCAGCACAGCTCCTGCGATGGACCCAATAATGATGTTTGTGCCACTGGGACCTGGACAAAGGGACAGATACTGGTAACTTTGTTACAAAAAATTTCTAAAATCAGTTAGGAAAGTAAAAGTACTTCTTCCTATATTATGAACTAATGCTATGGTCTCGATTTACTATTATTGCATAAGTCTTTCAAATTATTCAATATTTTTGGATACACTTTTTAAATGATTTCTTCAAAATACTAACATATCAAAAAAAAAAAATCTATCATATATATAAAATATATCAAGATACCAAAAATAGCAAAATGTTTCAAAATTCAAATAGTTTTCGAAATATTGAATCATTTTGAAAGTTTATCCAAAAATATTAAATCATTTCAAAAGCTCTTGCAAAAATATTAAATAGAGACCTTTAGCCTCGATTTAATAAATTGATTTCAAACTGATTCAATACTGTCCGAAAAACATTCCAAACGATTTATCTACAGATACATCACCATGAAAGGCTACGGGATTTTTGGTAGTCATTTGGAATGTTTTTAGAACAGCGTTCAAGTTTAGAATTCTTAATAAATTATTTATTATGAGGTTCTCTAGTGTATTAGCTGTTACATAGACATGAAGTGGAATAAAATAAATTAATTGTGCCACATTATATAGTTATTCTAAGCAGAAAAGTAGGAAGACTGACAAAAGCCCACCTTTCTCTGGATGTGTTTTCCTTATTTTATAAATTTTTATGACGATCTTTGCATGGGTTGATATTTTTAAGTATCCTATTTTCTTTAACAATAATAAGCTTTATGTTTTACCTTTGTATCTTTCAACCACAGCAGGTGGTTTAGGGACGGGTAGAGGATCGTACACACTGCAATCTTTTCCAGTCCAGTCTGGATGACATATACACTTTCCTTCGTTGCTGCACACCTGTGGACAGAGTTAGGATCAGAGAGATATCCGACCAGCTTCAGAGCAAAAGCTATAAGTTAGGGGTTAGCCTTCTACCTAGCTGTGTCGTAGTACCCTAAGCCCCCTTTTTATATATGTGGTGGATTTGGTCTCAAGTTACATCATGTTCTTAACTTAGCCACATTATACATCTCTCTGAGTGGTGGTCTTCATCTCAGATCAGCTTTTCTCTATATACCATTTTAACTCCAGACCCTAAACATTCTGTCTTAACTGCTACTGTTTTGGCCTAAGCAAGACGAGAAATTTTGGCTCTGCCAACTGATTTTGTCCGAAGATATAAATTTATTCGGGTCATTTAAAATTCGATTGGATGTCAGAATCCGAATCAGGAGAACATATATACATATACACCACCCCGCTTTTATTTTTACCTTTTTTCCAACTGCTCTTTCCGAACATCTTTTTTTCTCTAGATTGGTTGTCTTGAAATAATTTATCATTCAGACAATGTTCTGCTGCTTTGGACACTTCCGCTACCATAAATATGTTTTTGACTCTGTTCTGTTTTAAAATACCCTCATCTGATATTGAATTATTCACAAATTGCAAAAATAAACATCGTCCAAAAACAGAAAAAATGTGATGCACCCATAAGCATTTATATAAAATAATAATCAGTTACAGTTTTATAAGCAGTGGATCCATGGTTCCTGGAGTTGAAGTGCTCCAACTGCAGGACGTAGTAGCCATTTTGTGTGTACTGGTTACACAATCAGCAAATATAATGACAGCTAAATATAAATAAAAAGGACTTTTTTTTTTCAATTTTCCACCAAAATCCTTGCAGTTTATCCTCACTTACCCCGTGGTCTGAGCAGACCTCTTCATTTACGCTTCCAGGACAAGTGCTAAAGTTAAAAACCGCAGCAGGGAGGCACTTCTGTTCCAGACACATCATGTTAGGGCCACATGGGGTCCCGTCTTCCACATACCCCACATACGAGCCATCTGGGAGCACTACTTGCCCTCCTCTGCAAGTAAGATGAAATAGATACTTGGCATGACCACGATTTACAACTAGACACATTTTTCTCACTAATATAAACATAAATACAAAGACAGATAAGAAAATGAGGAATATAGCCATCAAATTAATTTATGAAAATTCTTATTGTAAAAACTGAATTAGTCAGGTCTCATATATGGCATTATCACTTAGTTTCAAAGGAAGTATTGTGTATTGATGTGTTCAGAAGAGTATTGCTGAGCATAATCTGAGGTTATTGATTATAGTGGAATAGAATGAAAAAGGTCCAGGCACTCCTTGGTTCAAGATAGGCACTTTATTGGAACCACAGCAACGTTTCGACCAAAAAGTCTTTGCAAGCATTGACATTGACAAAGACCTTTTGGTTGAAACATTGCTGTGGTTCCAAAAAAGTGTCTGTCTTGAACCAAGGAGTGCCTGGACCTTTTTCATTCTATTCTACTAAACTGGGAATCTGGTGTTTGGTACAGTAAGAACCCTGGCTTAGAATGATGGGAGTGGGTGCAATTCCACACACATTAAAAAAGGATTGATTATAGTGGTACATATCAGAAATGGCCAGTTACATTTTAATGAGTATGTATAAAATGCGCACACACCCAAAAGACTTTTATCATAAACTTTGACATAAACTGGTGAAAAAAATGGCATTAGGCTAAGGCACATTATACACCCTGGAATGTCTCCTTTCAAAAATGGTAGGCCTTTGTGGGGTAATTTGAACAGTCAAGCTGCTATATTGCCCCAAAATGAGACATAGGCCAATCAAATCCACCTTTACAAATTCTAACTGTAAAAACTGAAATGGTCAAGTTTCCTACATGATGCTGTAGCTTCATTGGATAGTGACAAAGGCATACATTTGGGGTATTGCCGTAATCAGAATATGTAGCGGAACACAATATGTTGTTTTGTACAGTAATAGCACACATCAGGTTTACAAAATACTCATTAAGAAAATATGTTATATGTGTGCATGATAAAAATTATAAAAAAAAAAATAATTCTGCTACAATATTTAGCAGTGATTGGCAGCTAAATTTCTACATAATAACTATCAAAATTGCCATAGGTAAGTTGCGTATGATGTCTACTTTATATAAATATCTACACTTGTGTGGCAATTTTCTTTTATTTTGCTCCTTATATTTTGTGACCTGAATTTACCAAAAATAAATTGAAATCCTAGACATATTATATACTCTGTAAATTAGAACAAATAAATTAATTTATTTTGAATTACTTTTCTTATGCTGCACTAATTATGCACACATTATTATCACCAAAACTGTGTTTTTTTACAAGTGGTTTTTTTTTTTTTAATAATAAATCAGAATTTATTTATGAATATGTCACATCAGAATAATAATGCCCTTTTTTTGTCCTTTTAAAATAGTATATAATATGTGTTGGTGCAATAAATGAGAGATTGAAAATGGCTGCTGCACACACACATAGCAAAAACGCAAAAATTGCTGTGGTCCTTAAGTGAAAAACAAACAAATGGAGCTTGGTCCTTAACCCTTTAAGGACACTTGACGGAAATAATCCGTCATGGTTCCCTTTTATTCCAGAAGTTGTGTCCTTAAGGGGTTAAGCACCAAAACAACTTTAGTTTAAAGAAATAATTTTTGTTTACAGATCATGACCCTGCTGTCTTACCTGCAGTCCAGGTATCGATTATGTTGGTAGAAGCTCATACTGGTGATATCTCCGTTCAGCTCTCCGATCCTCGGAATTCCGGAAATATTGGAGCATAGCAAATACCCACATAGCACATCCCTAGGAGAGGCAACAAGTGTGGCTAAAGATTGTATTTATCAGAGCTTAAAGAGTCAACAAAGACCTACAGCACCCGTTTACTTACTGTTTGCTACATTGTATCCAGGTTTCTCCATTTTTTCCGCAGTTCCCTTTCTCTGTCCCTTCCACATTTAACTTTTCATAGCAGTACCTGTCAGATGCGCCTTGGGTAAAACAAGCACAAGTGATTAGCATTATGGTTTGTATCTCTGTGCTACTAATACGTGTACAGAAAAATGAGATCAAGCTGCCTTAAAGGAGCACTATAGTACCAGAAAAACAAACTCGTTTTCCTGGCACTATAGGGTCATTGGGTGTGTGTCCCCACCACCTCAGGGCCCCCCTCCCGCTGGGCTGAAGGGGTTGAAACCCCTTCAGCCACTTACATTCCTCAGCACCGGGCTCCCTCTGTGCTGGGGAACTCTCCACACCCTGCCGATGTCAGATCCACATGCGCATTCAAACAGCCCATAGGAAAGCATTACTCAATGCTTTCCTATGGACGTTCAAGGTGAGGATTGCGGAAGTGGCCTCTAGCGGCTGTCAGTGAGACAGCCACTAAAGGCTGGATTAACCCTCAGTGAAACATAGCAGTTTCTCTGAAACTGCTATGTTTTCAGCTGCAGGGTTAAAACTAGAGGGACCTGGCACCCAGACAACTTTATTAAGCTGAAGTGTTCTGGGTGCCTATAGTGGTCCTTTAAATTAATATATTCGTAGAGGGTGTGCATTTGGTGAGTTTATTGTATTATATATTGTATTATTTCATTCAGAACAATAACCATTGGCCATAAAACGTGGGATTACTCCCCATGGTTAAAATAGAGAGCTGTTTAGACCTAGAATGCATGTTATACTTTGGTTTAGCCATACCAAATACAAGATGTTTAATGAAGAGGTCTAGAAAGGGAGGTGATATCAAAAACGTTTTCCTAAGGTACTGAGACACTGATACCTTTAAATGAAAAAAAGATAAATACGGAGTTGCTTAAGGCTTGGAAGGAAAATCACTTGACTTTTTTTTTTTTTTAAACCAGCAAGCAAACACTTTTAAACAAACGTACAAACCATAAAAGCAAGAAAAAAATGTGAAAAGTATGTAATAAGTGTTTAAAAAATTCTATAAACTTGGTCAGATTGCATTGTTGGGTACGCCTTAAAGCTAAGGGAATTTTTTCAACTAGCGCTTTTGAATGAGACAGTTGTCTCAAAGTGATGCCTATCCCTTTAAACAGGATGTGCAATAAAAGAAGTTTAAAAATGAGATCTCTCTTTACAGGAGTGGTAACATGCAGGGCAGATCTGACTAGGGCTGTATCAACCAAGTGATTTAACTACTAAATGGCAGAGAATTGAACTTGTTTTGGTACTTAGAGCGTCCCTTTAACAATGGTTGGCTATGTGTCTTTCCGTTGCTTTATGGCACTTCACCTGTAAATGAATTAAATATGTAAAACTCACTGTGTCCCCATAATGCATTGCACTGACGATCTCTGGTTTTACAACGGCCACCATAGCATCGACCCTATTAAAAGCAAATAAATTGAAACAGTATCACTGTGAGAGCAAATGTAAATATAAGTGAAAATTTAAAAAAATAGTGTATGACCTAGATATGTCCTAACAATAAGACCATAATACAGGGACACACAAAAATGCAGAATATATTCATAGAACAATGCTCATTGAGCTGTGACACATTATTAACCCTTTTAGAGCCATACCCTGACCGTGTGGAGGTTAACAAAGGCTGGCCTCTCAGATATTAATCTGAATCATGCACAGTCCACTATAGTCCAAGCAAAGGCAACCTTCGGCACTGCAGATGTTTTGGACTACACCTCCCATGATGCTTTGCCAGCATTATGGGTGCAAGAGCATTATGGGGGATATAGTCCACAACCCCTGGAGTGCCGAAGGTTGCCTATCCCTGCACTATACTTTCTTATCTGTTGGTTAATCTTTACACACTTTTATGCTTTAAAACATCAACAAGCGCAATATCACCTGTTCATTGTCGCAAAAGTATCCATCTTGTTTGTGTAGGTTTGGCGGACACTGTAAACATGAAATAGGAGATCGTTACTGAAAAAGAAAGGTGTTTATTTTTACTAACACCAATCACCTGATTCATTTTCTCATCGTCCTCTTAACAGAACTCACCACACTGGAGTCTCCAGGGCAGGTCTCGGGCACATCACATTCATTAACAGGCTCCCGGCAAGTTGTTCCTCGTGGCTCGTACTGTGAAGAAAAAACATAGCACTTAGCAGTATATTTTTTGCAAGTGGCAGATTGGCGACTGGCGGAACAGTACATTTTCCTTTGACAGGTTATTTAGCATGCAGGCTCCATTCGTTTTTGCAGTTATTAACCGTGAACCAGTTTTAAAAAAAATTCTGCCCAAAATGATGGCCAAATGTGCAAAAAATTATGTTTTGTCAAATATATACATGCGTTGTCACTTGTTTCACGAGCTAGGTGATTCTTGATGGGTTTTTTAGTATTCTCTTATTGAAGCGTCGATTTAATATTTTTGGATACGATTTTCAAATGATCACAATCTGTTAGAAAAACGTTTCAAATGATTATCTGCGGATGTCACCATTAATCCCTTAAGGACCAAACTTCTGGAATAAAAGGGAATCATGACATGTCACACATGTCATGTGTCCTTAAGGGGTTAAAGGCTATGCATATTTTGTACATAAATCATAGAAACATAGAAACATAACTCACAGAAACATAGAAACATTTGAAAAGTTTTTCAAACAGATTGTGTACATTTGCAATGCTTATTTAAAAAGAATTAAATTAAAAGGTCTATGTGAGCACGGACATTCTTTGTTTGAATTTAGAGCAGGCAAAGGAATAGAGATGTTTTACACTACAGTGATTTAAATTATAAATTTGAGATCCTAAGTGACAGAGAGTGACGAAAGGGTCAAAGAATAGCTTAAAGAGACACTCTAAGCACCATAACAACTTTAGTTTAAAGGACAACTGTCATCAAATCTTTACTTATATTTTTTAAAGTTTATTACATCTCATGAAATGTAATGCTATTTTTTTTAAATTATATATATATATTGATTTCATTTTAAGAAATGTCATTTCTTTTCATCTAGCTGAGCAGCCACGTTGGGTCATATTCTACTGTTATCTGACCAACTGCTGTTCAACTTAATTTGCCCGCTGATTGCTTTGTGTGAAATTACAGTAGCAGGCAGGCTAGAATGAACAGTAGTTGGTCAGGTAACAGTAGAGTCTGACACAATATTGCTACTCTGCCAGGCGAGAAAGTGCTATTTTGTCCAAAAAAAAACAAATTCTTCAAATAAAATCTAATTAGGTTTCAATAAATGTAATAAACACTTAAAAAATTAGAAGAAAACGTGCTGATGGTTGTTCTTTAATGAAGTCGTTTTGGTTTATAAATCATGTCCCTGCAGTCCCACTACTCAATTATCTGTAGTTAAGGAGTTAAATTACTTTTTTGGGTGACTTACACAGTCTTCCTGCACACTTCCTGAAAAAGAAGTCTAAATAGTTTAGCTTCCCTTTTTAAACAGTGTGTTTAATTTAGAAGTGTTTATCTCCCGCTCTGTGAATTACAGAGCAGGAAACAATATCTTCTAAAGCAAACACACTGTACTGTAAGATATCAAGTTGTTTGGGTGCATAGAGTGGTCCTTTAAGAAAAATGTAAGCATTCTAGATTTCTCAGGAACTCATTGCATGCATGTATATATGTTTTAACAGGCACAGGTGCAAGTCTATGTGTTGATCAGTGTGGGTAATACCCACATACACCCAAGAGAGACCCATTAGATATCACAGCCATGGTCTTACCTTGCATCCTCTGCAGCACAAGCCGTCACTGCACATGGCATCATGGCTAAGGGTGCATTTCTTGCAGCAATTTCCGGCTCCAGATTTAGCACATTCCTGCAGAGGAATGTTGGACATGCAGAACCGTAGTCACTAAAGCATCGAATTTGAAACATTTACATCATTATTAACTTTTAGGAGAAGTCTAAGCATCATATATCCAAAGATGAATGAAACAGATCCTGCTAATGTGGAAATGGATCTTTCATGTTATCAATCTGTCAAGGTGGGGGTCGGTACCCAGGACCGGGGTATGTAGCACATTGTGGTTATGGTGCTTAACAACCTAGAGTCGTTATCATAAGGTCCCTGCGCATCATTTCCTAAAACAGCAGCTTTAAAATTGTCTCCTCTGTGTCTGGCATGAACATAAGAAGTAAAACAAATAAATCCTTTATTTTTTATATTTCTTTGTGTCTATTGTTAATTCATCGTCTAAATAATGCATTAAAAATTGGGGACATTTCAATGGTCCCTTTAATGTTAAAATTAAAAATCTAGGGCCGGGGCTTAGCCGCGGAACGAAGCAGGCACCATTTTTCACTGCTCCGACGGCGCTCTGCACAATCCGCCGAAAATCAATCGATACACTGCCCATCCAGCCCAATCAGCGAGAGTACCCGTAAGCGGAGGCCACCCGGTGCCGGTACATGCCGTTTTTAGCAAAATCCGGTCAAAACCGGCAGCGGAAAAAGGCCGCGGCCTTTCATTACCCTGTACACCTCGAGGATCTCTTTGGGCGCATCCCTCACCAGGGAGAGCTGAATTGGGGCACGGACAAAGCATCATCAGCAGCCCACAAACATGGGGAGACACTCTCAGAAATCCCCAACAGGTACACCAAACGTATCCCAAGGCATAGGGGCCCTTTTGCGGTGACAGGTCCAGCCCAAAATGGCGGGCCCAGGGTACCAGGAGATCCCGGCCGACCCTCAGGCTCAAACACCTGACCACCCTCCAGCACACACACCACCACAAGCAGCAGAGACACCAGCTATAGGCCTGCCTGATTTCTCAGCACTGGCCACCAAGCAGGAATAGGGCTAATCACCCACTACGCAGCCCCCTTGGTTAGGGGTATTACAAGCCAAAACCAACCCACTCACTTGCCGCAACACCGCCTCTATCTAGGCCCCAAAACGGGATACCGTAGCTCTCCACGACAAGAGGCACCCACAGATTACTACACCCACAGACCCACTTCAACCCACACAGCAATCGACTGACAGTAATAACTCTAGTGGTGCCAACCTAGACCCACCCAACCCAGCTCTCGACCACACCTAGATAGCCTCCAGGGAGGCACCACATACTCACAAGCACAGGCCAAAGGGTACTGACCATAGGTGAGACAGGGATGCCCTTGCAGCACCCACCAAAATGACAAGCAACTCTCAAGATAGGGCTCAGGCCAAGCGACATCATAACTAGGACACACAATCTAGAATATATTGCCACACCGCACCGGGTACCCTGCTTAAACACTAAAAGTTTAATATTGTTATATTATATCTGGTTTATGATGCTTGTTTTTACAAAAAATGGTGCAACTCTCTCAATATGTCTGGTGCTCATACACCTTCGCAATATCACTCGATGTCATGTTATGTACCTGCAAATGTTCTTTACATGCACCGCAAAAATAAAGAATAAAAAAAAAAAAAAATCGAAAATAAAATAAGTAGAAAAAAAATGCATACCCTACCATTTTGCTTTTTCGGATCCCGTGGTTTATATACTGAAAGTATCACCATGACAGCACAAGACAATAAAATCGTACATATTCGCGTCATCTATGTGATGTCTGAATCTCATAGCATAGATCAAGGATACTCACAGTAGGAGAACCGCAATCACATTCCTCTCCCAACTCCACAAATCCATTCCCACAGGACGGAGCATCAAGCAGCTGGATGGAGGGACAAAGAAAGACTTAGTTGTCACTGCGTGTCCACGACGGAGTTAAGTCTGTTAATCTCAGTTAGTAGAATATGCATGCTAAGAGTTCATGTTAAGGCCGAGCAATCAATATTAGTTCATGGTGGAAGCAAATCAATCTGTTCCAGGTCATTACGGGGGCACAGCGATGAGCTTAATTCAAGATGGAAGCATAGCAAAGAATATGAGTTCAGGATAGTGAGCACTGTAGTCAGGGCTTGTTAATGATCACACATTCAGGATGGGCACTCAGTATTCAAGGAGACAGAATGGCACCCAATACTAATTCAGGGTGGGGACATAGTAATCAATACTAATTCAGGGTGGGGACATAGTAATCAATACTAATTAAAGGAGGGGGCATAGTAACCAATTCTAATTCACGGAGGGGGCATAGTAATCAATACTACCGTATATACTCGTGTATAAGTCGATCTCATGTATAAGTCGAGTGCAGTTTTGTGACCAACAATTGTGAAATATGCTGTGCCTCGTGGATAAGTCGAGGGTAAAACTTGGGGCTATGAAATTCTGTGATTTTTATAATTATATACACACACTCTGCATTATATACACACACACTTATACAAACACACACTCTGCATTATATACACACACACACTCATACAAACACACACTCTGCATTATATACACACACACACTCATACAAACACACACTCTGCATTATATACACACACACACTCATACAAACACACACTCTGCATTATATACACACACTGTGTATATAATGCAGAGTGTGTGTTTGTATGAGTGTGTGTGTGTATATAATGCAGAGTGTGTGTTTGGGTAGTGTGTGTGAACTGGGTGGGGGGAGGGCATTTTTATTATTTAAAATTTTTTATTTTATTTTAATTGTTTTTGTCCCCCCCTCCCTGCTTGTTAACTGGTCAGGGAGGGGGGCTATCTTAATCCCTGGTGGTCCAGTGGCATGGGCTGTGTAGGAGGGGAGCCGGCAGGAGGCATTTACTTACCTTTCCTGCAGCTCCTGTCAGCTCCCTTCTCCTCCGTTCCGGTCAGCTCCACTGTAAGTCTCGCGGTCTGGTTGCCGCGCGGATCGTTGCCATGGCTCTGATGGTCGCGGCTCTCTAAGTTGCCATAATACAGACAGTGACTCGAGTATAAGTCGAGTGGGGGTTTTTAAGCACAAAAAATGTGCTGAAAAACTAGACTTATACTCGAGTATATACTGTAATTAAAGGAGAGGGCATAGTAACCAATACTAATTCACAGAGAGGGCATAGTAATCAATACTAATTCAAGGAGGGGACATAGTAATCAATACTAATTCTGGGTGGGTGCCTTGCAATGAGTACTTGCTCAGCAGTGTGGAATCAGTAGCCCTTCAAAGTAGGGGCATCAGTACCAATTATGGATGGACAATGGCAATCAGTGACAATTACCGATAAGGGCATAGCAATGAGTACCTGTTTAGGAGTGTTGAATCAGTACCAGTTAAGGGTGAGGGCATTGCAACCAGCACTAATAACATGTGGTAGCATGGTAATAAGTACCAGTTGAGGGTGGTGGCATGGCACTGAGTACCAGTTAAGGGTGGTGGCATTGCACCTAGTACTAGATAAGGGTGGTGGCATGGCACCTAGTACCTGTTAAGGGTGGTGGTATTGCAATGAGTACCAGGTAAGGGTGGTGGCATGGAACCGAGTACCAGTTAAGGGTGGTGGCATTGCACTGAGTACCAGTTATTGGTGGTGGTATTGCAATGAGTATCAGTTAAGGGTGGTGGCATTGCACTAAGTACCAGATAAAGATGGTGGCATGGCACTGAGTACCATTTATGGGGGGCAGCATGGTACCGAGTACCTGTTAAGGGTGGTGGTATTGCAATGAGTACTAGTTAAGGGTGGTGGCATGGAATCGAGTACCAATTAAGCATGGTGGCATTGCAATGAGTACCAGTTAAGGGTGGTGGCATTGCAATAAGTACCATTTAAGGGTGGTGGCATGGCATAGTAATCAATACTAATTCAAGGAGGGGGCATAGTAATCAATACTAATTCTTGGAGGTAGCATAGTAATCAACATTAATTCTGGGTTGGTGCATAGCAATGAGTACTTGCTCAGCAGTGTGGAATCAGTAGCCGTTCAAGGTAGGGTCATCAGTACAAATTATATAGGGAAAAAGGCAATCAGTGACAGTTATCGATAGGGGCATAGCAATGAGTACCAGCGCGGGAGTGTTAAATCAGTATCAGTTAAGGGTGGGGTCATGGTAATAAGTACCTGTAAAGGATGGTGCTATTGCAATCAGTACCAGTGAAGGGTGGTGGCATTGCAATGAGTACCATTTAAGCGTGGTGGTATGGCAATGAGTACCATTCAAGCGTGGTGGCATTGCAATGAGTACCATTCAAGCATGGTGGCATGGCAATGGGTACCATTCAAGCATGGTGGCATGGCAATGAGTACCAAACAAGCATGGTGGCATGGCAATGAGTACCATTCAAGCGTGGAGGCATTGCAATGAGTACCATTCAAGCATGGAGGCATTGCAGTGAGTGCCATTCAAGCGTGGTGGTATTGCAATGAGTACCATTCAAGAGTGGTGGCATTGCAATAAGTACCTTTCAAGAGTGGTGGCATTGCAATGAGTACCATTCAAGCATGGAGGCATTGCAATGAGTACCATTCAAGAGTGGTGGCATTGCAATGAGTACCATTCAAGCGTGGTGGCATTGCAATGAGTACCATTTAAGCGTGGTGGCATTGCAATGAGTACTCCTCCAACTAAGAACTCCTCCAACAGAAGACAGCTAGTATTGCAACTTACGAACAGTGTAAGCAAAATAAAAAATAACCAGGAATAATAGGCTTGTTGTGTGGTGAGGCAGGTCAACCTATTAGACTAAAACAAAACAAAAGTGATCGTAGTACCTATCAACCTGGATTTCAACAACACAAGTAAGTTTTATAGAGTTTACTCTGTTTTTATCCCCATTTTTATTTATCGTTGTATTTTTATTCATCACTATTATATATCTACTATCTCCAATTTTATATATATAATTATGTTTTGACTTTACTGTTTATTAATATTATTTACTCCTATGCTGTTTTATTACCTCTTATCCATTTTATTTATTTTAATTTTACAAGCTGTTCTGCCATTTATCTGCACTATTTTATACATTGTGCACAGGTACTGTTTATTGATGTTCATATATTTACATTAACTACTTTATGTATTTTGCATACGTACTGTAAATTGATGTTCAGATATACCTTTATATTGTTTTTTATATAATAGTGAGATTTGTCATGTAAGTACATATGAGTGTAATGTATATACACATTATCCCTTTTATTTATATGGGATTTTATAGGATTATCCCCTATTGGACCAAGATACCAATTACATATCCACATTCGGGGATTGTATTGCCCAGACATGCTAAATTAAAGTTTATCAGCTCCATACCCTGTAAGTGCATCTCCTTTTGTTTTCTTTAATCAAAAAGTTACATACTACACTATATTCTACTTCTCCTCTCTTCTCGTTGCATATTGACCTGTATCTGAGGAGTTGTCCAAGGTGCTACTTCCTTCTTCTTGCACACAAATAAACAATACAATTGCACTTCATATATTCCCCTTCGTTTTGTGATACAACAGTTGTTTTTATTGGACATGGAGTATTTTTTCAGGTGGCACAGCTTTTGACGTGATCATCAAGTTTCGAGGGCAATCGTTGCTCTCCTGGAATAGTCATTGATTAGGATCTATTATGTGGTGTATCACTGCGCTAGGCAGACCACCACTGACTCTCCGTACATGCTTATTGAATCTTGAAAACTTGCTTTTAGACAGGCTTTCGCTCTCTGCAAATCTAAAACAACAAGTTTCAGAAATTCCCTTCTCGATCTTGGAGTTTATCCCTATAGAATGTTGTAGAGACCACCACATATCACTCAACAAATTACTTATTTGTTTTTTCTCAAACAAAACATGGACAGCATTGCTTTTGTATCATTACAGCCCATGCCTTTTTCTGACAATGCTATCTAACAAGATATTTAGCAAGACAGCCATGCCCAGTCTAATGCCACATTGACATAGAATTCCCATGGCCATGCTGAGATTACTTTTGTTGAGGAAAGGCAAAAGTCTCAGTTTCCTTGCCTGACGCCAGCTGCTAGACCTGGAACTGGGTAAAGAAGACAGGAAGATATTCAATCTGAGACACCGATAATGGCTATTTGTGGACACCACAAGAGAAGGAATAGAATAGGTATACGTGCACTTCAGAATCAAACAAGTAATTGTGTTTGCTTTGTGAAGTCAAATAACTACATTGTACAGAATTGGTGTATAGTTAAAGGGACACTATAGTCACCATAACTACTTTAGCTTAATTAAGCAGATTTGGTGTATAGATCATGCCCCTGCAGACTCACTGCTCAACTCTCTGCCATTTAGGAGTTAAATCACTTTTTTATGCAGCCCTAGTCACACCTCCCTGCATGTGACTTACACAGCCTTCCTAAACACTTCCTGTAAAGAGTCACCTAATGTTTACACTTCCTTTATTGCATATTCTATTTAATTTAGAATTCCTTATCTCCTGCTCTGTTATTAACTTGTTAGATGCTACTGGAGCCTACTGTGTGTAATTAGTTTACTGTATGTAAAGTTTAATTTACAGAACAGGAAATAAAAACGTTTAAAGTAAGTTAACATCTGATTGAAAATGAAACCATTTTGTTTTTATGCAGGTTCTGTCAGTCACAGCCAGGGGAGTTGTGGCTAGGGCTGCATTAACAAAAACGAAATTATTTAACTCATTAATGGCAGAGATTAAGAATGAAACTTCAGTGGCATGATCTGTACACCAAAACTGCTTCATTAAGCTAGAGTTGTTTTGGTGACTATAGTGTCCCTTTAATGTATTGTTATTTGAAGACTGTCTTCTTACCTTGAGAGGTTTATTAAAAAGACAGCTTCCACCTCCATCTTGCAGAAATTGGTTGTATTCATCAATACTGCAGCGAGAGAACTTCTGTGGTAGATAATACCTTTAGAAGAAGAAGAAGTATAATTTTTTGTAATAAAAATTAAAAAGTTACCAATAATACAATGGTAACTTGCGTTTGTATTTAGAAGCGACATTTGATGTACACCGTCAGTTGGAGAGACAAGCTCATAGTAATGTAATGGCTACATGTTCTGGCACTTGTATCAAGTAGTCGCAGCCTTTTATTCTATAAATGCCCAGAATGCCAGTAAACTATTATGGGACATGATGAAACATGGAATGCCCCCTCCCCATCCCCCGGTTTACATATCTAATCCCGTCCTAACCATTCCATGTCTCTAATTATTATTTGTAGGATACTTCAAATTCCCCTCGCATTCTGAACATTGGAATAAAGTCAGAAATATAAAAAATTTAAAAGACCTGGAAAAAGAATCGCCAACAAAAGCAGATTACGGTATATCCTTTAAATGAATGGGCGAGGAACAGGAATCTAAGCCGATGTTCTCTGCAATGTACTAACTGTTGGGTTTAGTGAGTTGTTTCCCACTGGAGACGTCAACAAATTTTACAGGACTCATTGGGGATCATGTATAAAAACTGCAGTTTCTGCCTTAATATTTCCCTGGTGTCAAGTCTGTATGTCTTTTCGGTTTTTACTTTGTCAATTGAATGCAACAATTTTTCTTCCTCGACAATTACTTACCAGGATAGAAAAAAAAATCTGCCATAGCGCTAAGTGTTAACATTTGTCAAAAAATACTTTTTTATATATACATATTGGTCTGGTCAAAAATGGGGTCAAATGATAAAATAAAGCCGCAAACTAAAAATGACAGACAAAAGTAAAAAGAGCATAAAAAGTACAATTCTGGCGTTCTGAAGCACACAAGGGAATAAACAGGCCCAAAATAAGAACATTCCAAAATAATGGCAGAAAGTTTGATCAAGGCTCTTGTACACTTTACACCCAATGTATCTCATATGTTGGATCAAATCCTGAGGCTGGATACATGCATTCACTTTTCATTTTATTGTGACCTTGTGTGTCACATACCCCGTGTCTTCCATGATGCAACCCAGCCACAGGTCTGGACACTTGCAGTCACCTATTGAGAGAAAGTCACATTACTGCACTTCATCAGGCATTGCTTGGGTTAAAGCATGTAGATCCATATTCCACATTGGGGTGTTACCAGCTGATGTGCGGGGTTTATTCCACATCATCCCGAGATTCTGTCCAAGGGTCTCTGCCAAAGTTACAGCCATGCCACCAATAGTGCCATACTACACACAGAAAGAAAATGCAATTGTCAGCATGCAAACTGCAAAAGTCAATGTATACAAACACATCACACTTTGTAACTAGTTTTGTTAAAAGAACAGTATGGGCACCATAACAACTTCATGGAAATTAAGTTGTTATGGTGCCCAGAGGTCCCTGGTGCTTTCTTACTTGAAGGGCTTAAACCATTCTTGAACTGTTTAACCCCAAAGGTCGCTTTTCAGTGCTGGATCTCCCTTTCCCCAGCAGCACCCGGTCAGGGACCTCTGGGCACCATAACAACTTTATTTCAATGAAGTTGTTATGGTGCCCATACGCTTCCTTTAATAAACTATAAGTAAAATTATGCATTGTTCTTCTGCTAAAAGATAACAAACAAATTTTAATGCAAATTTTTTTTTTTTTTTTTAACAAACATAGCTGTTAAAGTAAAGGCAGTAAGACGTGAAATATATAGTGTTTGGATACGATGCTTGGAGTGTTCGTTTAATTATACAATACAGTTTTACATTACTAACACACTAACCTCATTCACGCCCCCGGCTTGGGTCGGGGAGCAAATCCCCCCAAAATACGCTGTCCCGCTGCGACTGCTCTTAAATGTGCGCCCTCTAGATATAAAAAATACAGTTGAGTGAGGGGGACAATGTTTGACATAAAGTAAGACAAAAGAAGCATCCATAACTTGGGTGAAGATTTACTTACAGTTCTACTAATTTAGCCTGAATTATGCAACACAACAGTGAACTACCCACCTACAAAAGGCAAGATTATGGATTCTATGAGGGAATTTTATAAACACCAACTGTAACACCAAGGGTTACTTACTAAAGTCAGGAATTTCAGTAACTTCAAAAATGTATTTCTAATTTAAGGCCAAAGTAGCTGAGATGGAATCATTGCTGACCTGGAGAATTTCTCCAGTTTGGCTACTTTGGTCTTCAATTCGAAAATGTACTTTGAATTCCCCACAATGTGCGTTTGCCCAGGTCTGCCTCCTTTAAGCAGCGCAGGTGACGTGCCCTTATATCCTGCCCACTGGCATTACGTTTTAAGGGATGCAGATGTTTGGGGGGTAGCTGGTAGGTTAGTGTGTTTGCAGTTACCCATATTATACAGTTCATCACCAGCAAATACGTGAGAGGAATAGACAGTCGGCCCAATCTGTATTCCTAAATCTATACTGCCCCTTTCAATCTTAAAAACCTTTTCGACATGTACCTGATAGCCCTCTTCACTCAGTGACGTCATGCTGATGGGGGGAACTTAATGGGCATGCACAGCGTTAGCCATGTGCATTGTTAATGCTTTCCTATGGGGATTTTGCAGATTCTGAACATACTCGTGCAAAGTGTGAGGATGTCTGTGGTTGTATCACAGAGTTACACAGAGTTAAACTGCAAGACACGGGAAGTACTACTAGTGGCTATCTGGGAGACAACCACTAGCGCACGTCTTCACCCTGCAATATAAACAAGGCCGTTTCTCTGAAAACCGCAATGTTTTGTATTGCACTGTTAATGAGATGTAGTGGTCTGGGTGCCTATAGTGTCCCAGTAATAAGTAGTGATGTCGCGAACGGTTCGCCGCGGTTCACCACGAACCGTTCGGGGCGAACTCCGGTCAGCTGACACGTCCCGGCCAATCTCCAGCAGACCCTCCCTCCCAGACCCTCCCACCTCCTGGACAGCATCCATGTTGAAGGCGGTGAACCGCGGCGAACCGTTCGCGAAAAGTTCGCGTACGGTTCGCGACATCTCTAGTAATAAGATGAAATTTACACTTCTGCATTAACAATGTCAGTATTGTCTTCAAGATCCGACGTAAGGTTTGACATAAATCTAAGACACAGTGTCCACAGGCTCTACAAAACATGATCACTACAGCGAGCCGTTCTTTTGATATTGTGTGAGTGTTTATTTGTTTGTTTTTCTTCAGTGTATCCTAGTTTAAGTTATTCTTTAATAAACATATGGCAAATATCACATAATGGTCTTCCCTTCCTGTTGACAGATGGTTAATTGGCTTCCCTTCCTTTATAAGATAATGAAAAAGATGGCTGAGAAGAAGGCCCATAAGGAACAGTGAATGATAAATTGACAAAACAATAATTTGCAAAATGGAAACATTTTTGGAACATTAGACATTTAATAATGAATAAATTACTGAGATAAAAAAAAAGAAAATGGTATATCTGCTTAAAATGGTAAGATCTAATCCGATATATATGCAAAGCAGAGTAATGGTAATGTCCAGTGATTATCATGTAATTTAACGATAATGTGAAGTTATGAGCATAATGTGTGATTGTCTATGAGTTATAGAATAAGTTGTCGCTAACCCTATAAGACTCACGAGAAGAGGTGAGTTGTGTCGCTGTACTCTGGGATCTCCGTACTCCGATACCTCATGAAGTCTTCCAACACTTGCAGAGGGTCCTCACTCATAGATATCTTATCTGCAGACGTCCACGTTTCCATGCCGACTAATACAATCTTCGTATTCAATTGGTCCCTAAAAATCTAGGGGTGTGAAGCGAGGAATGAAAGTGGTGGTGGGGTGGTGGGGACCAGAGGAAGGAGTAGGGAACTGATTAGGGAATCTGTGGAGGTAGAAGGGGCAGAGAGGTGGAGGACACTGACAATCCCAAATTAGTCCAGTCAGAGATGAATTAAGGGGCTTTTATTCATTTCCTGAAGGATTTCAGTATGCTATTTTACCAAGGACTCTCATCAAGGGCAGAGTCCATACTGAAACCCATAACAACTCAGCCTAATTGTTTAAAGCAACACTCCAAGCACCATAACCACATTTAAGAGCAGTCGTTATGGTGCCAAGAGTCGCCTTGTGCCACCCCATTGTAAGTAGTCAAACCGTTTTAAAATAGTTTAGCTACTGTCTCTATGTCAGAAGTAGTGGAGGCAAGGAGCGGCACCTAGCAGACCCTCAGTAAGAATTCAAATCATTCCAAAACGGTTTTACTATTTACAATGGTGGGGTGTCAGGGAATTCCTAGCACCATAACCACTACCGTGTGCTGTAGTTGTTGTGGTGCTTAGTGTATTCCTTTAGCTTATCCCTTGCACAATGTTTTATGAAATAAAAGTCTGTGATGTCAAACGTAATCTGATAACGACTAAGGAGTTTACATAGCCACAAACAAATAAGCTATTGAGGGGCAGTAAGAGACTAATACACGTTAATTTATTTTAAAATAAATAATACATTTTTAAAAAGTACCACTATGCATGGATAGTAAGCCTAAGAACTGTTAAATGTTAGGGAGTATGATGGGAATTGTAGTTAACAAAAACATGTTGTGTCAGAGTTAGGAATCCCAGCTCTAGGGTCGTTATTTGAACAATTAAAATTATGCAAATCTTATGGGGAAAAAAACATTATTATTATTACAACTTATGCCCATTTTAAAGTTTAGAGGCAAGCTATCCTAATAATGTTTTTAAAATCTTCAGTTTCTATCCACTAAACCATGAAGAATTGCAAGTCTTAGACCAAAACAAAACAAGAATTGCAGAATTGAAGAATTGCTTCCAATTCAGTATTGAGCTAAAGTTTGCTATTATTATTATTGAATAACCCAGCTTGGTTTGTTTGTTTATTAGTTTTTACAAAATTTGCAGTAAGTTTTACTCCTGAAAATATAAAACTGGAATCAGACAGGAAACTAAATAGTGATGGCTTTAATTTGGGACTGCAAATTTAAGCCTAAATTGTAAAAATGTGCCAATTTAGCTATTTTACTACATGCCTACTTCCTCCTGAATTTTCAATTCCCGTGGTAGTTTTTACAATTCCAGTTTAATGAATAATTAACTTGACATCACTGACTTTTTGCAGTCATTATTCCTTATCCCCATTCAATATCACATAAACTCCTCTGTAGCACTGCACTCTATGTCAGTTTAGGGTCTTTAAGTCCTGATTGTCATGACATTATTGAATGTCAAACGTACTTAAGAGGTTAAGTTTTTAAAATATCTCGTTTGTAATGAAATGTTGTCCTTTGGGAGGAATTTCAACTAAGTAACAGTGAAATATCTTAAAGATAACGGCATGATTTATACTCTAGGGGGGCCAATATCGCCAAGCAGCAAGGTGTAATATAGACAGGTGTACAAAAATCTCAGTCTCAGGTGGGCTACTCACAGCATCAGCTAAGTTCACAACCGATTTGGCAAAACCACTGGTGAGGCCTACAGATTTATGGTGCTGCACAAACTGTAAGAGAATTAGAGAAACATACAAAGGTAAGACCGGATGTGATTATGGTATCACCAGACGCAATGACAAGAGCACCACTCCCACCACTCACAGCAGGGTTCTCAAGAAAAGTAGCTGTAACTATCACATCTCCCCATAAGTGGAGCAACCACTAGACTGGACTGTGATATAACTATACAGATCTCTTTTAATAAATGTACATCAGTGCAGAAACAGAATCTGCTCTATTTATGAGCTATTTAAATCCAGAGAAAGAGAGATAAAGAATGACTAAAGAACTATACAGGGTTACCTACTAAAGTGAGAATTCAAAGTCAAAATAGCCGAACTGGAAAAATTCTCTAAGCCAGCTAAGCTTTAAGTTCAGCTGTCTTTGCCTTAAAATTGAAATTCACTAAGAATTAACTTTGAATTCTCATTTTAGTAAATAAGCAGACACACAGACAGACAGAGAGGTGGACAGATGGTATCGTAATCCTATCAATCTTGGGCCTATTACGGACCATGTTTATCAAGGAAGAAATGGAGCAGTCTAGGGATAAAAATGTTACATTGGGATGAAGCAACATTAACATTCCATTGGTTTCTATGGCAATTACATCAATCTAGACATTTATCTAAGTACAGCACCTATTTTACCACCATAAATATGACTCCCATAGATACTAAGATGTGAAATCCACTCTCTGTGCTATAATACTTACTAGCTGTCGATCGTTCACAACCATAAGCTCGATGTATTTGGTTTCAGTTAGAGCCGAATGGACCGTCCGACGGACCTGGGAAAAGTAAGTGAAACCAGTACACATATTTATTGATATAGATCAAGACACCGCCATGGTTTAATTAGAGCAACCAATGACATCTATTTATAGATCTCGCCTTAAAACTGCTGAGTGTTTATTACAGCAAATAATCTATTAATAAGGGTTGGGCTTTTTTCTAAGAACATGGTAAATCATTCTTACTTACAGTAAGACCTTTAGTGGGATTACATTACACCAAAGATGATCATTTACATGTTAACACTCTCAAGGAATGTCAAAGAAATGATATTTTATATGTTACCAATGGCTGAATCCATCGAGGGGCTTCCAAAGGTTTTCGTTGATCACTGTCTGTACCTCTGCATACGGCAAGCACAGGCTGGTGGTATGCAGTGAGACGGAGAGTTATATAAAGCGCTGCTTGAGCTCCCAGGAATGGCTGTGAGCTTCAAAGGGTACGGTTGTGATATCTCTAAGTCCACTAAAGACCCAAGGTACCCCAGCTGTACATCTTTCACGTTACTCTATCACCCCCTGTTGATCAGTTTCATGAGCACGTAATTTGCACCCAATTTCATTCTCTTGGGTTATGTTTTAATTTTTCATTACAACCCATTCATTCTAACCTGTAAGCTATAGCCATACACGTACACTTAAAGGAATACACATACACCCTCAAATTAACCATTACACTTACCTGCCTTTTCCTGCGGATTTTGGAGCTGGAAGGAATCTCTTTGTGAAATTCACAACCTGAAGCACAGAAACATGATATCAATATGTGAGTATTATGTAAACAAACAAACAAACACACATACAAACACACACACACACACACATACAAACACACACACATACAAACACACACACACCCAAGACAAAGAATAAAAAAAAAAAAAGAGCCCTTTGCTGTAGTGAACAGATACTTACTTGCTGTTTAAATAATGTACATTGTATACAGCTCTGACTGTACTACGACAGCATGGCTAACTATGTACAAATAAAATATTTTTTTTTTAAAGAATTTCAAAGTGCTACATTCTAAAATGTGGTATTGAGTGCCAAAAGTGGGGCCATTACCATGGAAACCAATAGAACAAGCACATCACATTGATGACTCCTCCCATTTTTTATTTTTGCGCCAAGTTTTAGAACAGAACAATAATTAATGTGAGAATTGCAAGAAGTTCGAAGTGAACTCAAAGTAAATTTCAAGGTATATAAAAAAAAAAATAAGATTAAATTAGATAAACATTTCTAAGTCAATTTTGTTTTCGGGTTGGCGATTTTGGTCTTAAATCGGAAATTCAACTTTGAATTTTTGACCATTCTCCTGTTAGCTATGATAAATCTCTCCCGACAGTAAAAAAGAGACCATCTCTCTACAATTAGATATACATCACATGCAGAGATATGGACGCTCTGTGTACTGACCCCATCTCTTACAGATCATCACGAGTAATTACATCTGTAGGGATGATGACATGTGTACAAGTCACTGTATACCTGGTTTTGTGCATCTTGTTGTGCGTTGGATCACATGAGGCCATCTGTCCATCTTCTAAAAGCAATATAATTTAGGAGAACGATAAAACAATATAAAAAATCAAGGAGATAGTGTAAATGTGTATGTAAGCATACCTTATTTTTATATGTATTTATTTATTTAATAAACATAAATCTTCCCTTATTTTACGTTACTGCCTCTTGTTTTTCTTGTTTGTTACAAATTACAGTAACTATTAAACTCCCTTTTATTCCTGCCCTGGGAGAGGGTCTTCTCGGCCTCTGCTCCTCCTCTGCTACGATCGTCAAATACTTCTCACAGATAAGTATTGGAGACTTTTAGCACATTCATTGAAATGGCTGCACAGGGCCACTCCAATACTTCCTGAGCGTAAAATATAACCAGCCTACAATGCTGCTTATTGTGACCACCCTTGTGCAGTATGGGTGTCCCTAGACACAATGCAGTTCTGGGCTATAAATGTCCCAGCCATCCCAAGATTAGGAAATTAACAGGTCGCTTGTGTTTGGACAGAAACCACGATTTCAGCTCCCCTCCCATTAATGATATGCTGGAAGAAATATCTCCTTAACACAGCTTCGTTCATATCAGTACAGCGCGCTGTAGTGGTTATAGTACTTGTTGTGTTTCTTTAATCTAGAAAATCATTTAATATAAAAGTAAAATAATACCATCTCAGGCTTTTAGAGATATATATTCACTCACATAAATTCACTCCACAATCAAGCTGCTTTTTTACCAATAATACTGGCCAGTATTAAGATTGTCTTGTAATTAATAATGCTATAAGTATGTAGCCAAATGTGTGGACCAATCATAAACTGTATACACAGATCTATGTATTTATTTTGCTAGAATGTATTCATTCATGTTTTATGATGAATTAAGAATTGCTTACCTCCACGTTGTGTTCCATAGGAAATAATGTATATGTGTACAAGGTATCAGAAAAGGCACCACTGTAAGAACAGACAAAGAATAACACCAGGTTAGTGATTAATGCATTGACACTTTTGGTATTTGCACATAAAGTGTTTAAAGTGATATTATTAGTGAATTTGGTGTGACAATAGTTTAAAAATGATGAGTGTTTTAACGTAAACAGGTTGGTAGATGCAAGACAGAACATAGTTACTCACTGGAAGGCACTCACCTGAGTCCGTGGCAGGTAGAAATGGCAGCCCATGATCCCTCAATCCCTCTCACGTGGCCTTGATAGTAACAGTGATCACCTACTTCACCTGGTGTCTGGATAGATACAATGATATTCTTGTTATATAAGTAACATTCTCCCAAACCATTCTCCATATAACCTCTCCCTATAACCTCTCCTATTACTCCATATAACCTCTCCATATAACTCCTCCTATTACTCTTTGTAACCTCTCTCTATAACTCCTCCTATTACTCCATATAAACTCTCACTATAACTTCTCCTATTACTCCATATAACCTCTCTCTATAACTCCTCCTATTACTCCATATAACCTCTCCCTATAACTCCTCCTATTACTCCATATAACCTCTCCCTATAACTCCTCATATTACTCCATATAACTCTCTCTCTATAACTCCTCCTATTACTCCATATAACCTCTCTCTATAACTCCTCCTATTACATCATATAACCTCTCCCTATAACTCCACCTATTACTCCATATAACCTCACACTATACCTCCTCCTATTACTCCATATAACCTCTCTCTATAACTCCTCCTATTACTCCATATAACCTCTCCCTATAACTCCTCCTATTACTCCATATAACCTTTCTATAACTCCTCCTATTACTCTAAATAACCCTCTGTATAACTCCTCCTATTACTCCATATAACCTCTCCCTATAACTCCTCCTATTACTCCATATAACTCTCTCTCTATAACTCCTCCTATTACTCCATATAACCTCTCTCTATAACTCCTCCTATTACATCATATAACCTCTCCCTATAACTCCACCTATTACTCCATATAACCTCTCCTTATAACTCCTCATATTACTCCATATAACCTCTCTCTATAACTCCTCCTATTACTCCATATAACCTCTCCCTATAACTCCTCCTATTACTCCATATAACCTCTCTCTATACCTCCTCCTATTACTCCATATAACCTCTCCTTATAACTCCTCCTATTACTCCATATAACCTCTCCCTATAACTCCTCCTATTACTCCATCTAACCTCTCTTTATAACTCCTCCTATTACTCCATATAACCTCTCTCTATAACTCCTCCTATTACTCCATATAACCTCTCCCTATAACTCCTCCTATTACTCCATATAACCTCTCCCTATAACTCCTCCTATTACTCCATATAACCTCTCTCTATAACTCCTCCTATTACTCCTCCTATAACTATTACTCCATATAACCTCTCCCTATAACTCCTCCTATTACTCCATATAACCTCTCTCTATAACTCCTCCTATTACTCCATATAACCTCTCACTATAACTCCTCCTATTACTTTGATTTGTCTGCCAACTCAAAGAAGGCCCTCTCACAGCCAGAGCTGGAGTTCCGAGCCAAGACTAAGGCCTACTGGACCATAGTCTGAACCTGGGCTCTAGGTGGTCGCCTTGGCCTTCTAATGGGTAATTCAGGTCTGATGACAGTCTTTGAAACCACAAACAAGTTCGTGGGAAATGGCACAGTGAGTTAACTCATTCAGAGAATGTGTCACATTAAAGAGAACTATTTTCTCGTGACAATGCCAAGTAGCCTATCTTTTTAGACACATTACCCAACAGTTTATGTTAATTAAAGATAATGTGATTATCATGGTGTATCCTGGATCATAATGCAACTATTAACCTCTGTATACAACGCTTAAATAAATACGTACCGTCACACGAGTGCTATTGCTGTCACCGTACTGCACCTCCACATATCTAGAAGACAGGAGATCACTAGGAACAAAGACAAAATGTTATAACAAATATAATAAAATCAAGGGCAAAAATTGTCAACAGCATCAACTATAAACACATATATATTATTTTTATAACAGCAATAAAATATAATGCACAGCCCTATATAATATGGATATAAACAACACATAACTGATAAACAAATTGTTTTTTTTTCTATCTGTCCGACATATTAAGATTTTTACCCTCTTTCTCTCTCAGCCTTTTTCTCCCATTATGTTTATACCCCAGCCCTTTCACACATTTGCTTCCCTCTTGATTCCTCTTTCTTTTGACTTTTCTTTCTTCCTTGGCTTTTCGTCCCTCGTCTTCCAGTCTTTCACCTCTTACTTTCTCCTGTCTTTTTCTTCTTACCCCCATCCCCCGGTCATTTTTCCTCCTCTACTTCCACGATTGCTCCTACATCCCCCGTGCCCGTGCCTGATTTCATTTTTTCCGTGGCTCATTTTTTAGAAGATAAGGATCGTACATCTTGCTTGCCAACATCGCATGGCATGAAATCCATCTCTAGTAGACGTAACGGCATTGACCTTTATATCGATACTTCCTTGCAGTTCAAAATATTACATCTCCCTGGTGGCCTATACAATTATTGCTTATGTTCAAGCCTCCTGGCATCACCATAGCAGATACACTGTGCTTTAACCGTAATTAGTTGAAGTTTGGACATGTACTGCTGGATTTCTGTTGGTCTCTCTTATTTTGCGTACATTGACATATATAGCATTGACATTGACATATACTCTCGACTAGTTCCCCTTTATACCTACTCTACAAGCATGGTCCATTCTAAAATCTTGGTGGTTTCATTTGAACTTCACTTAGTGGATTGAAACACCCGCAACAAATTGTTTCACAGTAATGTAAAATAACAGTTTTTGAAACAGGCCGGAGAGATAAGAATGATACGCTCAACCCCTAAAGCGATTAACAAACAAATTCACCTTGGAACACTGCACATGAAAGGAAATCAGATTTTTCAAAATAACCCAATAGTCTGTAAGCTCGTTTGAGCAGGGTCCTCTTCAACCTATTGTTCCTGTAAGTTTTCTTGTAATTGTCCTATTTATTGTTACACCCCCCCTCTCAAAATATTGTAAAGCGCTACGGAATCCGCTGGCGCTATATAAATGGCAATAATAATAATAATAATAATCATAGAATACTGTGGATAGTTATTTTGCTCAAATCAGTGGTTTATTTCAGGGGATTAAAAGAACACTATAATCACCATAATCACTTCAGCTTGCTGTAATGGTTATGGTGCCAGATGAGCCCTGGTGCCACCCAACGTAAGTAGTCAAACCGGTTAGAAACAGATTGACCTTTTGATCTGATCTTCCAAGCATAGCTCCATGCCTCCTCTTAGCCTACTGGAGAGCCAGATGCTCTCCTGAGCTAAGCGCTAGAGTGAGGGCCAGCATATTGGTCAAAGCGTCACCTAATCATTCTCAGCCAATAAGCTATCAGCCCTGCACTGACAAGTTTAGATCGGTCAGAGAGCTTCCAGTTGAGAGGCGGGTGTAGTGGAGACAGGGAGCGGTGCTTGGCAAGCCTCAGGTAAGAAGTTAAACCGTTACTAAACAGTTTGACGACTTACACCGAGGGAACACCATGGCACCATAACCACAACATCATGCTGTAGTGGTTATGGTGCTGTAGTGTTTCTTTATACAGTGTTGCCTGAGCTCACATCATTGGAAAATCTGAGACGTGTTTCCTGTTGCAGACTATAATCTGGTTTTATGGAAATGTAATTAGCTATATGATGGCTTAGGTAATAATTAGACCTGTGCAATTCGTTTCGTTCCGAATGTATATTTGGACGAATTTCGGGCAATTCGGACATTCGGATGTTTCCGAAGGTCCGAATTTCCGAAGTGCCGAAGAGAGAGGGAGGGAAAATTACGCGAATGATGACAGGAATCTTGACCAATAAGCTAATTCCTGGCACTGGGAGCCCTATAGATGTGTAAGTGGTTGTGGTGGCAGTCCGTGCACTGGGAGCCCTATAGATGTGTAAGTGGTTAGGGTTAGGGATTAGGGTTAGGGGTTAGGGTTAGCAATATAGATTTGTAAGTGGTTGTGGTGGCAATCCTGGCACTGGGAGTCCTATATATGTGTAAGTGGTTAAGGTTAGGATTAGGGGCTGGGGATTAGGGGTTATGATTAGATTACTAATGTCTGAATTGCCAAATTGCTGAAGTTCCAAATTGCCGTAGTTGGGTAGTTCGGAAGTGCCGAACCGATTGCCATTGGTCCGAATTGCCCAATCAGACAATTGATTTTTACATACCCGAATTTCCGAACCGCACCGAAAAATTTTTTGGCCCATGCACATCCCTGTTAATAATGTTTGGTTCAACTCACTGGTTCAGATCCAGGTCTAGCATGAACTTCTTCCCAAACACTGGCACTAGGAAGCTGGCACTTGCTAGATGGGCTGCCTGTAAGAGAGTTGTATATGGCATTTCAATCCATGGCCATGAATCAACGTACATGTAAACAGATTAGAAAGGGAACAAAGAATGATAATAAATACAGGAGCATTAGTTCAATCATGTCTCCACTCACGAAATCTGTAGGAAAACATAGTGGGTTCAGACCCTACGAGAAAATTTTTACAAGCCACAAATTTATAAATCTTAAATTTCCTACACAAAAATATAAACATGAAAAGAGAGTTTCTTATATAATAAGACACTATACACTACTTTCTGCACCAAATCACACAAAATAAGACAAACCCCATGACTACCAACTATTGTGCTTTCAACAGAGCAGTCCCAAATTCATGGTCATGAATTTATGGTTCCTTGGTGTCCTGCAATCGAGCGCATCAGAGTCCCCAGACAGCACAGCCCAAGAACAGTGCTCTCTGCATGGTCCTCTATGTAGTGGGCTGGCTGAGAGGCTGTCTCTGAACCCTGGGTTCTTGATGCCAGGCTCACATGCCCAAGGCTCAATGTGCAGACCCACCTACTCTCCAGATGGGCCTGCCCATTTTGGGGCGCAAGTTGTGTTGTTGGCAACTTCCCTCTGTCCCAATTCTAGCTGAGGCATAGTTGCAAGATATGAAACACACTCTTGTACTGACACATATATTGACATACACACTCATTGGCACATATGCACACATACTGGCACGGACACACAAATACAGACAGACTAAGTGGCAGGTACACTCCTGACACACAAACACATAATCACACTCACAGGCACACACACTCTCTCACTAACACATGCATACATACTCCCACCGACACATACACACAATCACTGATGCACAATTTGTCCCTATCAAAATTCTTTAAATCCATTCTGGAACAAATTGATTAATCTAGGATTTGCGTGTGGAATCTAATTCAATGAATACGGAAGTTGGAGATACAAACCTCTCTCCTCACACGTATTTGCACCATGAGAGATACCAGCCTTTTACTTTGTCTACCCAACAAAGTTATGAAGAATGACAATATTAAGTGTTAGTGTTTTAATATACATATGGGGATAATTCCCAATATTAAGTATACTTTTTGAACATAGCAAAGCAGCAAACAACTATACAATGAATGTTGGCACGCATAGAAAAGAAATACAGTGAATGTATATGTAGCAGCACACACGGCTATAAAAAAAGGGCATTGTATTTGACTTCAAGTAAAATACACGTTTTCTACATACCGGCTGACAACAGACTATAGAAAATGGTAACACTTTTTTTTTTTATATAAAACAGACACCATAGGCTGCATTGACACTTTCTATACTGGGAGTGACTCAAACAAGGAACACAGATGGTCTTTGACTCCCAAATTATGCGTGAAGATGGGAGAAAAAAAGTGCACTAACACCCTTTTTGTTTAATTCCACTAAACACACTGCAATGTGTTTAAAGGACCACTATAGGCACCCAGACCCCTTCAGCTTAATGAAGTGGTCTGGGTGCCAGGTCCAGCTAGGATTAACCCTTTCTTCTATAAACATAGCAGTTTCAGAGAAACTGCTATGTTTATAATACGGTTCATCCAGCCTCTAGTGGCTGTCTCATTGACAGCCGCTAGAGGTGCTTCCGCGCTTCTCACTGTGATTTTCACAGTGAGAAGACGCCAGCGTTCATAGGAAAGCATTGAGAATGCTCTTGCCGCGCATGCGTATTCAGCCGATGACAACGAGAAGGAGGAGGAGAGTCCCCCACCCGGCGCTGGAGAAAGAGGTAAATTTAACCAGTTCTACCCCTAGAGCCCAGCGGGAGGGGGGCCCTGAGGGTGGGGGCACCCTCAAGGCACTATAGTGCCAGGAAAACGAGTATGTTTTCCTGGCACTATAGTGGTCCTTTAACAAAAATAGCGAACACACATAGTAATGATGGCAAACCTGTTGCAAAGAAAGTTGTCAAAAAAATTGCCATTTTGATCTATTAGACCTCCATCTGAGACATAAAGTTATCATTTCACATACATTGTTATCATATGTTTTATCTTCCTTTTTTTAGTTTAGTATTAATTCTACTGGGGCTGTTAGAGGTTTAACCTGCATTTCCTAGTTTGAGAACATTACTAAGAGGTCTTTCTTGTATAGTGAAGGAATATGGTGCAAACATCTCTGGCTGCGAGTATCAGCCGATAACTTTCAGCCAACGAGGTAAGCCCAGCAGTGCAAGGCATAGCTCAGACAGTTTCTGGCAGGGATGGACACTGTAACAGAGGCTGGGAGCGACCCCCCAACATTGGTATCCCTTAAAGTAGGATACAAGTGGACAGGGTAAAAGGGGACAGGACAGTGACACAAACTGCATCGCTGGCTCCATCCAAGGGGCACAGATCTGTGAAGAAAGGGGGCAGGTCCACACATAGAATAGACATATCAGCGTCCAATGATGCCGACTAGTCCAATGAAGGTAGTGCCATAAAGAGCCTTCATGGTCTTAGTGCCCTTGGCATGTTTAATGGTGTCCCACAAAACAGGAACACCAGGGAACCAGCGACGGAACTAGCTGGCCCATGCACTTAGGGATGGGTATTGCTGAACAGAGGCCCGGTCAGGCACCATGGCCCATTACAAGTGTGACTGATTCTTTATAGCATCAGATGCTGGGAGGAAGTGAGAGCTGGTCACTTCCTCCCAGACACAGAGAGCACAACGCAAGAGGGAAAGAGGTAACAGAGGAAGCGTGCAGACAGCAGCAGGAGTGAGCTGCTGCAGACCCTCCACACATCAGCCAGCAGCACTCCAAGCAAGTAAACCTCCTGCAGACAAAAGGCATGCTAACAGGAGGGTGGCTGCAAACATTCAAATTATGACACGTGTGTATCTGTTTGTGTATGTGCCTGTGAGCGCATCTGTGTGTCAGTGTGTGTATCTGAGTCTGAGGGTGTTTGTCAGACAGTGTGTCAGTGTGTGTATCTGAGTGTGTGTGTGTGCCAGTGTGTGTATCTGTGTGTATATGTCAGTGTGTTTACCTGTGTGTCAGTGTGTATATCTGAAACAATTTGCAAATACAACCCTGCAAACACAAACATTACATACACACACACCTTCACTCAAACTCCAATACAACACACAAATGTACATCCGCATTTAAAAGACAACACTACATCCAAACACACCCATGCATTCAAACACAAACAAGACACACAAGTATTCCAATGGCAACAGTACATAGAAACAGACCCCTACATGCACACACATTCTCTATGCAAAAACCTGCCAACGTTCAAATTCACAAACGCTGCTCACAAATACAACCCTGCAAGGATGGGCAAATGGTAAATCCCCAGCTGGCATAGCACTGTGGAAGTTGTATGACAGATGTTGATCTATATTTTTGCCATTCTTGTGCTAGTGGGGGGGCCCAAAAATGTTTCTTGCACCAGGGCCTTCTCTACATCAATTCAGTCACTGCAAACAACACACCCAGGACATTAAGACAGGAACCTGAATTAGGGACTGTCCGACCCATACTGGGACAGTTAGAAAGCCTGCCAAAGTAAACTGCGCAGTAGTTATGGTTCTTCTTAATACTTACAAAAAGAGTCAATTACATCTATTATATTAGCACTCTCACATGGAGGATCAGGCACACTATTTCAACAGAGCTGGGGAGGGGTGGCTACTATTGGCATAGGGCAATTACAAACACATAGCGCAATTTGAGAATTAATTAGCATATTTACACAATAATAATTTAAATAATAGAAATGCAGGTACATCAAGCAGGTACATCAAGCCCCCCCCAAATTCTAAAGATGTCTTTACATATGGAAACACAGGCAGTGTTATCTAAAGAGTGAATTTGCAGTAATTAAAATGAAATTCGGGATGAATTTCAAATTTGAGGCCATAATTTTCAGCTTTTTTTTTTTTTTTTAAATCCTTGTCAATTCACGCTTTAGTGAATAGTACTGATGGGGTTAATTTACAAAAACAGGTATAGTGGAACAATAGACAAAAGGACAGCATATTTAAACAAATAAATTAGAAATGTAAAAGTTCCAGCGTAATTAACTTGGCCTTAATTTGCAATTCCTTACAAAATTCTTCGCCATTCTGTGGAGGTGTTTTTGAATAAACCCCAAAAACCTATCAACAACTTGCCTTTACCTCAACATATCACTCGGCATACAATTGACATTCTCCTCAAAAACACTGTAAAAACAATATAACTTTAAATTGATTTACGCTACAGGTCTTTTTTTAATTTGACACATTTCAAATGAGCAATGGCTGCCTGGTTTATGCAATCAGTTTACTGGCTGTAATTTTTTTTTTCCCAGTACAGACAATAATCTCCCGAAAGTCAAAACAGGTTTCATTGGCTCTTATATATACAAAATCTTTGTTTTTTTCACAGCCTGCTGTTCTTATGCAAAAGTTCCAACTTTCCTAGCTTAAATGGACATTATAGGCATCAAAACAACTTTAGCTTAAGGAAGCAGTTTTGGTGCATATATCATGCCCCTGTAGTTTCACTGCTCAATTCTCAGCCATTTAGGAGTTAAATCACGTTTTGCTTCTGTGTCCTGGCGCCCTAGCCACACCTACCCTGGTTGTGAATGACACAACCTACATGGAAAATTTGTTTAATTTTCAATCAGATGTTAACTTACTTTAGATTTTTTTAACCTTCTGCTCTGTAAATTGAACTCCTGCAAGGTCTACAAGGCTATTCACTGTGCAGTAAATAAGAATGTGCTATAAAAGACGTTTAAACATTAGATCTCTCTATACAAGCATTGTTTAGGATGGGTGTGTGGGTCACATACAGGGAGGTGTATCCCTGTATGTTTGACGCAGCATAAACAAAGTGCTAAAAACTCCTAAATGGCAGCAAATTGAGCTATGATCTATACACCAAAACTGCTCTGCTTAGCTAAAGTTGTTTTGGGGCCTATAGTGTCCCCTTATTTGACTGACCTACCACTGGCCACAGGTTCTAACAAACAGTCAATCTACAGTTCTCCTGAACGTTCATAGAAGTAGAAGATTATTAGGACCTTTAGAACCTCAGAGAAAGTAACCATTCCTGAATTAGATGGAGAGAGAGATCAATGTGTGGTCAGGAGAAATACTAAATTATATTGCTTTATGTAAGTATGATGAGCAGAGCAAAGGTCTGAAGAGACTTACTTGGTCAGTCGGGATCCCATTTCTTACTCGAGTGTCCAACTGATATCTGCGTGTTTCTGTCCCTGAAGTCCGTCCTACTAATTGGCTGGGATAGATAATTTGGGGAGGAGGAGAGATCTGGGGCCATGGGTTAGGAATCGGATGTTTCTGCTGAGTAGTGTTGTAGATTAACGTTGAATTTATCAGTAGAGAACCTAGGTGGGAAAAAATGAATGTCGAAATAACTAAAAGTGATAGAAGAAAAGATGTGTGGGAATAGAGAGGGGGTGGATTGGAAGTAGTAAGATCAGAGAGGGGAACATAGTACCAGCATGGGATATGTAGTAGAAACGAGCAGAGGGATAGAGGTAATAAGGATGTAATGGATGAATTTGGGTGGACGGCAACATAACGTGGATTTCAGAAAGGAAGAATGAAAGGGTATTAAAAGCAGAGCAGGATTCACCATTAGGCGACCATAGGCGACTACCTAGGGCCCAGAGGTAGACAGGAAGCTCCAGAACCATGAATTTGCTTGGTCCCATTTACCATCCCTATGAGAAGAATGAAGAGGGGGCCCAAACTGGCAACATTCCAAGGGTCCCATGAGATCTTAATCCTTCTCTAATTAAAGGGGTGTGGCAGGAGAATAGGAGAGGTAAATGAGAAGAGTGGATACAGTCATTTGGAAGAGTTGAAGAGATATAAATGGGATATAGCAATATCGATAGGGGGAATTTAATATATTAGATATAGATGGGTGACATAGAAAGATTGGTGAGAGGCAATAATAGTATATAATGAAAATGAAAGGTGGGTGTGAAAGGCAGAAAAAAAAACAAGCAATTTCCAATTTAGCCACAAGGGCCTCTTTTTAATATTTTTGGATAAGCTTTTAAAATTATCACAATGCTAGGAGAAACCTCTCAAGTTTTCTATTTAATGGAGTTGCCATTAACATCTATGGAAAATTTTTGAAGATAAATCGTTTAGCTTATCCAAAAAAACAATGAACTGAGGCCAAAATGTGAAAAAAAGTCCTTCACTCTATATTTCTCTTTTGATCATATTATACTGTTACATAAGCCAATATTAACCATTCTACCCTTAAATATTTTGGGGTGTTTTTTTTTGGGGGGGGGGGTTCAAAAAAATCTATACAGAATATAATACTCTATTTAGGCACGAAACTCACATTTTAAACAACTCTTGCATCTGCCATAGGTGAAATCTCTTTTCAAGTGTAAATGTTTGTGCTCTGTATAATCCTATCTATAACCAGGTTTCAGTAGAGCTTTTTGTCTAGCCTTGCATACATTTGTATAATGTCATCAGAACATTATGAGATGCCTTATTTCTAACACAAATGTTTTCTTGCTTTTCTTCACAACTTAAATCTTCCATTACCCTTATTAATTTTTAATTTTTCTTGTTCCATTATCTCCTTCTTGAAATTTGATTTATGAAGAGACAAAATTAGATTTTAATCATGCAAATGAATATCACATTTTATGCATGAGAATACTTTATAGGACTCAGACACTCCTGGCTACCCTGTCCCCCCAAATTATCCAAATCCCCCTGTAGATAAGTAATGTGATGTTCAAACTGCATTACCTTATCTAGTTTTACCTCTTCTGCAAACACTGACCTAGTACTTTAAATGCATATTTCACGATCAATAATAAATACATTGTAGAAAAGTGGATCTAGAACAGACCCCCGAGGGACTCCACTTATCTCTTTTGTCGAACAAGAACATGTTCCATTAAGAACCACTCTCTGTCCTCTGTCTTTAAGCCAATATGCAATCCAAGAACAAGACTGTCCATCTCTAAACCAATTGCTTTTAATTTGTACAATATTTTTTTCCATGGAACCGTACCAAATGCCTTTAAAAAATCCAAATATATCACATCCCCTGCAACTCCTTTATCTATACATCTACAGAATTATTCAGGTTGGGAAGATAAAGAGTATTGAAACACAGTACAACAGAGAATAAAATGTGGATGACAGACAGAGATTAAAGGACAACGTGTATCTCAAAACAATTTTAATATAATAATCCTTTCATCGAGTATTGAAAGGAAATAGGTTTTATGACAGGATCCTTCAGCTATATGCGTGCACCTTAGGTTGGACAGTGTTAGATCATCAGTTAGTCTCTATGGTCTTCCCTGCTTCTGTTCAAGGAGTGAAGCTGGGAATACCATAGAGACTAACTGTCAGTTTTCAAACACTGTCCGACCAACGGCCTATGTATATGGCTGACGGATCGTGCCATATACTAAAGATAGGGATGTGGTTTTCTAATTTTTTTTACATATACATCATTAAAAATATTTATATATATTTCCTTTCACAACTTGTTTTAATGATTAGAATATTACACAGTTTTGAGGTGACAGTTGCATTTTAGGGATAGTGTACAATGAGGATAAAAGGAGGGGGAAGAGTCAGCTAACAAACTGAATGAAATTTAGAGTTGAAAAGGGACAGTTTAGAGGGAGGAGGTACGTAAGAACACAGAAACAGCAGTGAAGCAATTCACAGAGAAAGATAAGTTCGGAAACAAAATTAAATATAGCCCCTCATTACAATTTTACACGAATTGTAAAATAATTGGAATAATGAAATAATAGATTAAACACTAATACTGAAACATAATTTAAGAATGTATTCCCTTAAATTTATAAAGAATCGACAAGGAACAAATTTTAGATCTTTATAGCCAAATTCAAAAAATTCTTCAACTTAACCACCTTCCTAACTTGGCAATTTTGGCCTTAAATTTACAATTTCCCCTGTCGATTATTTTTACAGTTCCCAGTTTAGTGAATAAGTAACCCATTCATAGCGTAGTGCCCTGACAGTGCCCTGAGACCCCTACCCCAACCTGCCACCCCCCCAGCAAGCACAAGTGGGTATGAATGCATCTATTCTTCCCTAGCAAGAACGTTCCTTCTCTGATTAGCAGTCTCTCCCCTCCCTCCCGACATTGCATTTATATCTACCTGATGCATTGCAGCAGATCTTTTGATATTACAGCATGCAACTATGAGCGTGACGAGGTCACTGTTCTTCTAAATATTTTTGGGGAGGCCTGTACCAACAGTTTGCTTTACAGACCGTCGACCCAGCTATTCTAGTGTCAAAAAAGGTTATATTTGGAAAAAAATATACTTGAATTATTTTTGCAAATCATTTGTTAAAGGGTGAAAACTATAACCCCTTGCAACCTTACTAAACTGGCTATAGGTTAATTAGGGACAGTTCTGGGCTGGCGTGGACGAGGAGAGAATTTCGATTGGAAATAAATGAGGGGAATCAGGTACAGCAGGTGTGGTTAGAGATTAAGGTAAATAAAATCACAATAATAATCATGGAAATTTTTCATGAAATCATGGAAAGGATGGTTATAAATGGGGGAATTAGGGCAATGGTAAGAGGATGAAGTAGTAGAAGAATTGAAAGGAATATATCAGTGATAAGGAAAAAGTGGGTGTATTGGGGAAGGAGAGGGAGATGTTAAAGCAATAGATATTAGGGTATCAGTGATGCAGGTGATGATATGTGAGGGAGGGAGCATGGTGTATCTGTGATATGGAGGATAACAAATGGGGTATGGAGCAGGAGGGGGTATTAGGGATGTAGGATATCAGACACAGGGCAAAAACTTTGTGATACCTGGGATCCAGAAAGCGTTTAAATTAGATATTGGACAGACAGCATGTAAGTATATAGGAATCAAGAGGATAACATGAAGTATCAAAGATAAGATAATGTATACATGTGGTAACAGGGATGCACAGGATGGAATATAGGGCAGAGATAATTTTGGATGAGACCCTGGACACACTACTTGGGATGCAGAGCGTTAGAAATTGGCAAGGCACATTGGGTATCAAGGATGCAGAAGAATGAATATGGGGCAGGTGAGAGTGTGGTGTCAGGAAATATGGGACAGGAAGGATGGGGTACCAGTGATCCTAAGGATGAGCGATGTGACAGACTCTGCAGATTGTGTGAATGCATATCATTGTATATGAAGCAGAGAATACTGGGTAACTGTAATACAGAGGGTGAGATGAGGGGCAGAAAACACTGAGGATCATGGATGCAGAGGATAAGATATGGTGCAAAGATTATGTAGGTATCTGGGCTGCAGGGAATGAAATATGGGACAGAAGGTATAGGGTGCAGAGCATGAAATGAGAGGCAGAATGAGGTATCAGGGATGGAAAGGGTGGTACATGGGCTACAGATAATAGGGTATCAGGGATGAAGAATATGGTATATGGCATATCAGGGTTGGAGATAGTGGTATATGGGATATCATGGTTGGAAGTAGGTATATGGGGTATTAGGGGTGAAGAATATGGTATATGAGATATCAGGGTTGAACAGGGTGGTATATGGAGTATCAGGGATGGGGAGGGTGGTATATGGGGTTATCAGGGATGGGGAGGGTGGTATATGGTGTATCAGGAATAGGGAAGTATCAGGGATGGGGAGTGTGGTATATGGGATATTAGTGATGGGTAAGGTGGTACATAAGGGATGGGGAAGGTGGTATACGGGTATCATGGATGGGGAAGGTGGTATATGGGATATAATGAATAGGGATGATGGTATATGAGGTATCAGGGATAAAGAGGGTGGTATATGGAATATAAGGGATAGGGAGGAGGGTATATGGGGTATAAGGGATGCAGAGCGTGGTATATATGATATCAGGGATGGGGAGGATGATTAACAGGTAGAGAGCATTGAGTACTAGAGATGGAGCATTGGGTACCAGAGATGGAGCATTGGGTACCAGAGATGGAGCATTGGGTACCAGAGATGGAGCAGTGGGTACTAGAGATGGAGCATTGGGTACCAGAGATGGAGCATTGGGTACCAGAGATGGAGCAGAGATGAGATGAAGGAGAGGACAGGTTGGGGAGGGTTTGTGCTACCTGTTCCCCTTTGAGGTGGATTACTCACCCAGTTGAGGCATTGCAGAGATTACAGAAGCTACAACCCAGAGCAGCGCGAAATGCATCATTCACACATAATAATTCAGCCCCGGGGACATGGGACAGCCTCATACAGACATGAGCTCCGAGCCTGGGGACAGGGGACATCAGCCCAGCTCCCTGCTGTTCCTGTCACCATCAGGGTGTAGTGGGGGAGGCTGTGTGCTGGAGGATGCTGGATCTGCAGTGTGAGTGCGTGAGATTCTCCAATATTAACACAGAGACACGTGAGGGGTATTCTCCTCCCTCCCCTCCTCTCTTTCTCTCTACCTTTATCTGCCTTCCCTCCCCTTCCCCCACATCCATCCTGCTCTCTCACCCACCAATCAGCCCCACTCCCTGCTCCTTTATACATGTATCAGCATAGCCATGGTAACGGGATACAATGTAGCAATATGGACACATATCATTAGAGCAACAGGGCTTGTGTGCCTTGCAACATGTGTGCACTCACTGTATATCACACACACTGAGAGAGAAGCACTAGGATCTTGCAAATATACAACAGCTATATTGCAAAACAGTCTGCACGTTGCATGTACAGTAATGCAGCAATATGTATATTGTATGCACACATGGTGATACTGAGCAGCATGCATTCCATGTATACAGTGTGAACATACACACAGCTAGTTAGCAGAATGTGTGTGCACACTTATATAGCAATGCACACACCGCAGGCACTTTGTACAGCTAGAAATGAACTTAAAATTTGCTTGTACATCAATGCAATGTATATACATAAAGTATGAATGATCAAAGCCAACTGTATAGTGTAAACACTGTATGCAATCATATAGCTACAAGGCAACATGTGTAACTGTGACAGAGCCCCAATATTCTGATTATCTCTGCCAGGTATCCCTTCATCTCTGGAGCAGACCAGCTAGGGTGATTCTAGCTTAGTCCCAATTTTTCGATTGAAAAAAAAAGAAATCTTTAACACTACACACTTTAACAGGTAAAACTTTCCTAGCATACTTTAAAAACGTTATACATTGTTATTAGTCCGTATTAGAAATAGTTGCCCAATTACAGACTAACAACCACCCATACGTACTATGTATTTCCAAAAAAAACAATTCTTCATTAGGTGACGGGGTTTTAGGTTGAGTGGGCTCCAAGTCTCAAGGAGACTTGATAGGTTTTTCACTCAGTCGTCGTCGTCTTCTTCGCCAAGGCAGTTTATGGTGTTATAGTCTCAGCATGCTGGGCATTATAGCTTAGTCCCAAGCATCAGCCGAGTCTTGATGAAGGGTAAAACAGGTAAAAATTTTATTCAAAAACTCACACATATTTATACAGGTATTCCCAACAGGGGGTCATCACAATAAATGCAATACAATCCCACCCCGGCACCTTTAATTAACTTCGAGACATCAGGGCGCCTTGCAAGAGCCCAAAACAGAGTGTTTCTCACTCCCTCCAAGAGCTATATGTCCCAGGAGAGCTTTAGTTAAGAGGTGTTAGCTGTTCATAAAGCACTTGGATCAGAGGTGTCTAGTTCGAGCATTCACTAGTTAAAATTTGACCAAGTGGCAACTATCCTCTGATCCGGCATAGAGTTCCTTGGTAGCTCTGTAGGCCTCATCACCTTCCTTCCAAAAAGTGCTCAGTTTGGTGGTCCTATGGCCACCTGAAGTTTCACAGGATCGTGGCATCCTTCCCTTCCGGTGTACAATTCCATGAGGTTTCTGGGTACTTCCCGGTTCAGCATATTGTGCCCCATTAGCCTAGGGAGTGTCCATACAGTCCATGAGTGCTAGGCTCTATTATGTCCTGTAGGCCAATGGCATAGCATGGAGGGGCAAACATAGTGATGAAAGCTCCATTGCGGAGAAGTTGATCAGGTCACTCCATCACAATACTGTGTATACACTCATAGCAGCAAATGTACTGTGTGCACATCCATGTACCTAAATATCAACAAGTATAATTAATATACAGCGAGGCAGCACACGCATAGCTACTTGTACAGTGAGATACATGAATATTGTACATAGCCACCAATAAAGTGTATCTGCTCAACCCAAGTTCTTAAAAGGGAAATGCCAGTTTTCCGTAAGAGACATTTTCTTGTTCCCTCACCCCAGTAAATGCTATTGAATCACCGACTGTAGGGATTGCAGACTGCACCTATCACTGTTCTCAGACAAACAAAGTAGAAAGTGATCTCAGGCTGAGATTGTTGAGATCTGTCATTAACACGTACAAGAAACCAGAGTCACTCATGGGCCGATATCAACTATTTAATTCTTCTCCACTGAGATATCAAGATTCTTTGTCCAGGAACAAGGTGGGGTCACTCACATGGCAATCAATTTACTACAGCGCAGTCACCCAGTGGGATCCTGTCGTGATTGTGAGAATGTTTGTGTTATATTTCTGTTTACAATTTTGTGTAATGTTCCGTCACGGCAACGATGATCAGTCTGTAAATGTATTGATGTTGTGCAAATTCCGAGAGAAACACAGATTTATATACTGCATCTAAAGTCATTATTGAAGCTAGAAATTGATTACCTTATTGGTAAATGTAAGATGATTCTGGTTTCTGGGCTTTGCTACAGGCATCCCACACAAACTGGCAGAATCTTGGTAAATTTTATAACAATCTTAAAGCTCATTAGACAGAGGCCCTTCGCCAATTCAGCTGGATGAAAAATAGTTATTGAGTGCCAATGTAGGTGATCAGATCAGTTCCCAGTCCCCTAGCGAACGAGGCAGCAAGCTTGATACAAGGTAGGTCACAAGATAGTGATTGTTAGGGTAAAGTCCGATGGTGAACATTTCAGGAATAGCTAGGTGCATTACCAATCATTAGAAACGGGTAGTTTTCATGTGAATTCATCCAGGGTGACAAAAAATTATCAATAAATGAACACAGTTAAACTGTACCTAAAACAAGCTGGAGGAATAATTGTATATGGTAGATAAGCTTGATAAAGACACCTTGTGTGTCAAAACATTGCCTTTTCACGTGTAATGACTGGAAACCCACCATTATACCCCTTTGCCACCAGCTGAGAATTTTGTATTTTCTTATCATCAGGAGGTTTAATGAATGGAGCAGAGACCTGACCTTCGGCACAGGCACAAAATTTGGATCTTCGTTGGGATGACTTATACTTGTATTTCTATTTAATTGTCTAAGGTAGTCAGGAGTCAGGAAACCAGCAGAATAGATGAAATACAAGCAGGGCTGGTGCTACCATAAGGCCTTAGGGCGCTCCTGCCTGGGGGCGCAAATATCCAGTTGACGGTCAGGAGAGAAGTGCTGTGCACTTCTCTCCTGGCGGTCATTTGCTGTAGCGTAGCCGAGCGCCAGTACCTCTGCAGCCCGGCGCAGGAGGTGAGGGCACGCGACGGAGCTCTGATCGAGATTCGCATTTCCTGTATAGCTCCCTCGTGCACCCTGTAGAGGTCCTGGGAGCTGGAATATGACATCTGGATCAGAGCTCACTCAGAGGAGCATTGCGGCAGCCCACTGGACCCCAGGCTGTGGATCCACTCCAGGTCTCCAAAAGGTAGGGAGACTGGGTAGATTGAAAAGTGTGTGTGTGTGGCAATACTGCCCCTGTTCCCTTACCCCCATGATGCTGCCCTACGCCCCCATACTATTCCTATCCCCCCAGTCCTCCACAATGCTGCCCCCTCTCCCCCTCCCACCATAGCCCCTGTCCCTCACAATACTGTCCCTTACCCCAACATAGCCCCAGTCCCCCATAATGCTGCCCTGTCCTTCAAAACTGTTCCAATTCCCTCCACCATAGCCCCAGTCCCCTACAATGCTGCTATACCTCCCACAATACAGCTACTGCCCCCTTATAGCGATCCTAACCCCCAACATAGCCCCAGTCCCCCACAATACTGCCCTGCCCTCCCCACTAAAGCTCCAAACCCCAAAATACTGTTTTTATCCTTCACCATAGCTCCAGTTCCGACAATACTGTTTCTATCCCCTTACTAATGCCCCCTGTCCCACACAATACTGTCTGTTCCCCACAATACTGTTCCTAACCCTAACACTAACGCCCCAATCCCCTATAATACTTCCCCATTCCTCCCCCCCCCACACACACACTAAAGTATCAATCCCCCACAATATGGGCCCTGTCCCCATACTAAAGAATCAATCTGCAACAATACGGCCCCAGGCCCATCACAATAATTCCCCGGTCCCCCACAATACTGCCCCTATCCCCTAATTGCTAAAGTCCCTATCCCCCCCACAATACTGCCTCTATTTCCCAATATACTACTCCTATCTACCCTTGACTAAAGCTCTAGTCCCACACACACACACAGTACTAAAGCCCTATTGTACAGCGCTACAGAATTTGTTGGCGCTGTATATATTATAATAATAATAATAAAGTCCCTATCCCATACAATTCTGCCCCACAGTGACACAGAAAGGGGCTGGTGGGCAAGTAAGAGAAACAGGGGTGTATAAAACACTAAAGTAGGAGTAACACTAAAGGGGGGAAGAAATTCAAAAGAGGGGTTACGAAACACACAGGTGAACAGGTGAAGATAAAACAAATTTGGGGGGGGGGAGGGGGCAAAATGCATATTCGCCTGTGTAGCCAAAAATCCTTGCACCAGCCCTGAATACAAGCCACTGGAGTTTTCACAACATCAGTGGGCGTTATGCTCGGTTCTATGTAAATCATGAAAACAAGCACAAAAGGGAACGTGTCGTAATTGGTTTGTGCAACAATGAGTATGATAGAAATATTTAAATACATAAAGGGAATTCACACAGTAAAGGAGGAGACTATATTTAAAAGAAGAAAAACTACCACAACAAGAGGACATAGAGGGACAAAGGTTTAAAAATAATATCAGGAAGTATTACTTTACTGAGAGGGTAGTGGATGCATGGAATAGCCTTCCAGCTAAAGTGGTAGAGGTTAACATAGTGAGGGAGTTTAAGCATGCGTGGGATAGGCATAAGGCTATCCCAACTATAAAATAAGGCCAGCAACTAATGAAAGTTTTTAGAAAATTGGGCAGACTAGATGGGCCGAATGGCTCTTATCTGCCGTCACTCACATTCTATGTTTCTATGTTATCTATAGTATGCGTCAAGATGGCTCATTTCAAAACAGCAATTTTAGAAAGCAGAGTTCGAAATGGAGCTGTGTTTACGTGATTCAATTCAGTATCTTTCCATTATAAAGGATAGAGTCCACTTCAAATGTGATGGGTGTTAGTACCAGCTTCTAACCCGTAATTACTTTGGCCAAGATGAGGACTTTAGAGATTTGGCGTTTTACAGA